AAACTAGAGTTTCTCTGCAGGAATCTTGTTTACACAGGCATCAAAAGACAGCAGTTGTTATATCTTTTCAGAGCTGGAGTTTGATGAAAGGCCACAAGCTGGACCCCTCCCATCAATATCTACCAAACATAGCAGGAACTAATTGTATCTTTTGCAGCTGGCATTTCATGCTGAGAAATAAAAGTAGAATGTCATCTTGTCCCCTTGTCTGTCAAGACACAACAGCATGGAAAGCTCTTACAGGTGCTTCCCCAAGACAGGAAAATTTAGAACCACACAGGACTTTGGGCATGGTCATTCCAACAAAGGCAAACCAAAACCTTAGTAATTATGCCCAAAAAGCTGTGCAGCAAAATTCCCTTATGGACATTAGTTATTTGCCTTATGCAAATAAATCCTTCTACAGCCTCAGGTTTTTTTTTATGCTCTTCAGGATTATTTATCCTGTGTTCAAAATCTTCAGGGAAAGTTTTGTGTTGCAGTTCACTAAGACAAGGTCTTTCAATCCACAATGTCCACCCATGGAAGTAAACTTGTGTTTTGTGTTTAATGTGAGCAATAAGGCTTTATGCACAGGTATGAGAAACAAACCAAACCAAAAAACCCAACAAAAACAACAAAAAAAGACATATGTACAATCTAAGAAAGAACAAAGAGAATTTATCTAGCTCTAGAAGTCTAAATCAACTTAAATGAACAAAAATACAATCAAAAAGCTTATTTTAATAAGCTAAAAAGCTCATTAAAATAAGCAAAAATAAAATTAACATTTTTGAGTGCTAATTAACCACTGGAACAAATTATGTTGACACGTGGTAGATTTTTCATCCTTTGCATATTTCAGATTTACATAGAACTTCTTTCCAGCAAAGAACATCACTCTTCTTTGAATGAACAGTGCTCACTGTGTGTCCAATATGGGAATTGTTGGATGAGAGATTCTGATCTTTGTAGCGATACAGGCAGACCAAATATTGCAGTAGCCTGGTCTGACCTTGAAATCTGTGAATTTCCAGCACAGAAGGGCCATATGCAATTGGCATATAAATGGCACATCTGGTTGGCTGCCTGAGGACAAGAACAAATTCCAGTTCAGGGAATCAGAAACATTTGCTCTGGCCCAGGTACTTGCAGGAGGCCATTTAGGAGGGCACGCTGTGCCAAACACAGGCCTGTTCTCACAGGGTTGTGTTCATGAACTGCTCATTTAACAGTCTGAGCTTTTTCTGTCTTCTATTGTGACCCAATAAAGAGAAACTGTAGGTACATACACCCCTGTACATATTTTTTAAAAAGTGTTTTGATTCTTTATACAATGTCAACTGTTAAGGAGAACACAGTAATTCCCATTGCACAATGTGACAGGTCTTTGGAGCTCTTGTTGCCTACAGCAGGTACTGGAAAGTTTGTTTCAAGTTGGTTGAACCAATAAAAAAAATTCTCCAGCTTTAATAAACTGATACCCTACTGCTCACCCTAGAACATCCCTTTTGGGAGGAAGCACTTTACATCATCCTCATATGTTATTTTATGTTGGTGCCCCTAGCTACCAAGAGGCATGGAGCTAAAATGAAAATGCTGAAGTGCTTTTATGTAATTATGCCTGCTGTTAATAAGCCTTCCATTACAGCCATGGCGCAGATTTTGCTAATCCATTACAAGTGATTGGCTGGAATTTAAAACACTGCTGCAAGCATACCATTTTTCACACTGAGCTCACATTGTCAGATTTCAAACACTTTCCCCCTCCATAAGCGACAAGGCTGGGCCATGCAACAACAGCTATTACCTAAGGGAAGTGTTGAACTTATCACTTGAACCCTCCCTTGGGATTCACCTGAAAAGTATTTTACTGAAAATAACAAGACTGGCTCTGACCATTTCTGGTGTCAGTGTGAACTCCAAATTCAGACATCAGGCACTAAAAATGGGCTTTGCTGCATAAATCATGCCACTAATCAGTATTGCCTGTGGTGTGACAGCTTGCCTGAACAGGTGAACCCAAAGGTAATTCATCTTGAAATTTCTGACAAATCTCCTGTTAGAAAAACTCTGAAAGAAACTCTCATAAAAACTAAGAACATGTGCAGTACCTTGAATTTTACTCCAAGACATTTGATTTTTCTTATGTATTAGACAAAACCCACAGTGAAAACATTTTCTATTTTTGAAGTGCTACTCTATTTAAACCTTGACCTGTGACAGAGCTGTTATCCATAGACCACTCAGTTCCAAAGCTGTATTCAAATGTACACTGCAGTTAGTTAGCTGACAGCCTGAAAGCCTAAAGAGGAGGGAGATTTATCTAAATCAAGAGTTTCCCAGATAATTCTGGATATTTTTTTAAGCCAAATAAGCATTAAGTGGTGTGCAATAATGTAGGTGTCTACATGGGAGCCACAGTCTGTGTGTCTGTTGATGTCAGTGAAGCTGAGACAGCCAAGCACCTCAGCTAACAGTGGACATGTTCTCGCCAGCCCATGAAATCACATTTTGCACCATTGGCTCTAAGGAGCTGATGTTCATTCAGTTGTTTACTCATAAATCTCTGCTGCCCACTCCAGCTCTCCAGTAGACCTGTGTGTTTGAGGGCTTAAAACAGCATTCTACAGCTGATGAACTGAGGGAGAATAATTGGTTCTTCTTCCTTGAACAATACCTTAAAAAATAATCCAACAAAATACAGCAAAAACCTCCACTGGAAATCATCTAGTTCATTTTTATCCACAGGAATTGTTCTCTTTAAGACTATCCTGGTCTTGTACTGTTTTAAGCAGCAGCTAATCAATGAAATAGGAAAAAAAAACCAAAAAACAAACAAAAGAACCCAAGATGTCCCAGATTCAGTTGTACATCACACCTCCATGATGCCAGGTGGGGAGAAAGGACCAAAACTAAGACAAAGTTATCCTACATCATAACTTTAGCATCATTTAGCAAACACAACCCCTTCAATACGAGATTACAATCACAGAAAGGGCTTTTTAATGTGCAAGGTGCACTTCCACACTGCCATCTTGTGTCAATAACCAGGTTTGCTGAACTTAAAAGCCCAATATGATCCAAATTCTTCAGCAAGGATTGAAACAGACAAATACAACGTTCATTAGGTAGGCTCCTCTGCCTGTTCCTCTCCACAGGACGGAGGGGATGAAGGAATTCTTATTACTCGCATTTACCAATGTGATTTAGCAAATGTAGATTTGAAGAAGCCTTGTTTAAACCAGGATTTTAACACTGGTGGAAACTTCAACTCTTCAAGAGTTTCAGTTTCAGCTCTTTGAGGCCCACTAAATTTGAAATCCCACCCATTTGTGCACAAGCTAATGAAATAAACCACTCTTCTTGCAGACATTTTGTGGGAAAATTAAATTGGAACCTGCGTGGAAGTACTTGAGTGAAGTACTCCTAGTACCACCTAGAAGAAGCCAGCCTGGCTCAGAACCACTGCAGGCTGTGGGACATCAGTCAGGCAGCATTGCTGACCACAGGTTGCTGAATTGCCCTTCCTTCCATTTTTCACCACCAGTCAATTTCCATACCTGACTAATTCCCATGGACAGGGAAACATGTCTAGCCTCAAGATGCAAAGAACAGCATCGCCATCCCTAAATTTTCTCACAGTGTTGCTGCATAACACAGTGCTGGGAGAGGGGGAATCATGGATAGGCTAAGATAGGTTCATTGGTTAGCAGTTGAGAAACTTTGACTTTGGACAAAAAAGAAAGGTGTCTCTCAGTGTATTTCAGGGCTGCTCCTGGAGACTGTAGGTATCAGGAATTTGGGGGGCAGGGGGACAGTGCTTCATTATTGTAGATGTTTTCTACAGCCAGATCTGCATTGTACCTCAATCAGATTCTGAATAGCTCTCAGGGAAGCAAGCTTCTTCCCCATGCAGCAACAAGGACTCCAGAGAGCTGTGTGAGCAGGCAGTGTGACTATGTCTCCGTAGTTTGTACTTGACAACTAGGGTCTTCATATCCCAGTGCTCTCATCTGTGGTCTACCATGTCATTACTTACCACAACAGTAAAAACCAAATTAAATCTCTTTACCAGTCTTTAACTGAATATCAAAAACCAAGGCCAAGTTAGGTTGATGAGACACTTTAGATTTTTATAAAGATGTTTCAAGCAAATATAAAAATGATGTTTGAGACTTTGCAATTCAGTACGCAGCGTTCAGTTACGAGCAGGAGAAACTACGGGAGTGAGGGTGAAGTTCTCCCACTATGCCAAAACAGCACAATCTTCCCTTGTTGCCCCCAGCTATCACAGCCACAATCTCTCTTCCTAATCTGTGAGCTCTCCCACACATCATCCCACCCCCCACCCCTCCAAAATCCCCTGAGAGCAAGGAGCACCCTAAGCCTCACTGCAAGCTCTTCATGGTGCCATATACAAGCTGACACTCAAGAAAGGGTCCTCCAACACCTCCCAGCTTCCTCTTCCTCAGTTTTACCCATAAAACACTCCCCCAAATTCCTCTGATCCACAGCCTACGTTTTTTCACTGTTTCCAAGGATATGGACACAAGAGGGTACATAACCAGGCATGAAAAGATTTGGGGAAGCCATTGACCAAAACAATTTGGAAGCCACCACTGTTGACACAGTGCACATTCCAGCCGTGTTTTCAAAAGGAGCAGAACCTAACCCAAAAATATTTTCAGCACTTCATTTCTAGCAACAACAGAGCAATTTTGAGGAACATCTACCTCTTTCAATTGTTTTTCAGGGATGGGCATATAGTCTCACCACTGGTACTGAATGCTCAAGAGAAAGAGCATGAAGAGCTTGATGAATAAACTCCACACAGACTTTGACATTGACTACAAAGTAAAAGGGAAATGGAAGAACTATTGCTCTTGCATATATTTAGGTGAACAACTTAATCCTGTCAGAACAAGTATTTTTCCCAAGATGAAAATCAAACAATTTTATATATTTCCACACATTACCTTAGACATCTTTAGCTGAACAGAAAGGACAAAAACTTCTAATAAATGCAACATCAGATTTTTTTATTTACAAATATATGGTAATTCAACAATCACTCTCCACTCAGAGGAAAGAGTGATAGTTACATCTCCAAATGGGAAAAGAAAACTCTCTCACTTAAACGGATTCCACAGAATATTATGCCAACACCACTGAGCAAAGAGATTATTCTTTGTATTTAGGTTTCAAAAAAAGCACATCATTTTAGAAACCAGCATATGGAAAGCAAACACATTTGTGTGCATTTAAATGCAGCTTCATATTAACCTAGAGAATTCACTTTCAGTATATGTCAAAAAATAAAGACAGCAATTGCAAATATATATTTATATTAGCTATTTCTCTAATGCTCATTTCAAGAGCTTAGAAACAAAATACCCTCTTCATATACCATTGGAAAGTCAACTAGTTGATTATAAGCCTCAAAAATATTTTGAAGTTATTACTGAAAATATACTTATTCTCTCTTGCACTCTCAATACTTGAAGCTGAAAATGTGAAAGCATTTTTCCCAGCTATTTCCTTACTGCAATTACTTTCTTATAAATAAAAATAGTTATATGAAGAATACAAGGTATTGCTATGAAGACTAGACAAGCAAGAGTTACTCTTAGAAAAAAACCACACACACAATATTTATATTTATAGATCTACATCAGCAGCAATCACCTCTTCTTGTATCTGCGACAGTGGTTTCATATCTTCATTTGCTTCACATGCAGGTTGGTTGCCCAGCTGTTAGGGAGAGACAAAAAAAAAGGTCAGTAAAATCTAGCTACTGAAGGATGTTTGTGACAACAATTAACATTTTAAAGTTTAAAATAGTAATTTAATAGTCAAAGAATATTTTAAAGTTTCAAATACTTATTGAAAATGGTAACATACTAAGGTATACATTCTGAACCAAGCAATCCAAATTTAATAAACAATACAAATATGAGTTGAATCCAATTATAGCACTGCAAGTATTTCAGGCCAAGTCATATTCCACAGAACATGCACCTTACCAAATTCTTAAGAATTATTTTTAGCATTAGCACAGAGACAGAGTGATAGTTTTTCTAAATTTACCCTTCAATAATGAAATTAAAATTTGCTAAATAACTGTAACAATATAAATAACTTTTTTTATCCTCTCTGCATATCTTTGTAGGTATCTGCCAATACAGTGGTGTTTAACTAGAACATTCCAAGTTTAAACCGCAAAATTAACACAAAAATGTGCAAAAATATCACATAAAATTACATAAAATTGCAAGGTGAATATCAATAACCCTACAGTTTATCAAACCTTTTAGCCAATGTGTTCACATTCCAAGCTAACAAATAACTAGCCAGGTTGATGTCAGATGCCAACTGCAAAAAATAGTAATCTGCATCACAGGCCTGTGCTGTGCTGCCAATACATTTTCACTGCAGTAATTGCATAGCTGGTTTTTGTATTATTCAAATAGCTGATTTCAATTACTAATCACTAATTTGAATACTTTGTTCTGTACCTACAAGTTCTTACAACTCCTGATTTTACTTGTATCTCATACAATTATGTTTTGAGGTGCCCACTGGCCCAAGTAGATGCAGTCTGAAGGGAAGGGAATAGAAACGTTTCCTCACAGATCAGCTCTGCTTCTGAAAGGCACTGCTGTGACTTTATGGGCTGTAACGTCAAAGAGAGACTAAATAGCAATTCATCCAAAATAAAATTACTTATCCAACTCATCCAGCAATATTTCCCCCCAAAAGAAAAGACAGAGACAAAAAATAACATGAGCAAGCTCCAGAGTGAATCTCTCACACATTTGGGTTCTTCAAATAGGAGCAGTCACTTCAGTGTAGTCTTGTCAATAAGGAGATACATAGACACAGTATGACCCAGTGCCCTGGATAACCTCCAGATGGAAGGGAGTGATTCTCTTCCTCCTTCCACTGATCACAGTGGCATCCTTGCATGTAACATTAGTCTCTCTGAATGTGCTATTACCCTCATGAGGTGTTGTGCTCTCTGGTTTTAGCTCAGGTACAACATAATCATTTCTGTGACTTCTCTTCATGGAAGTCAAAAAGAGCCTGCAAACAGCAACAGCATCAGATGCAGAGCTTCTCTTTTCCTGAGCTAGCAGCTGCCCAGTTCCTGCTCAAATGCTTTAGCATGAATATCCTGTTCCCTTCACTGCCTTCCCATCCCCCATGAGAAAAATGTGCTGAGCTCATACAGAAACACAGACATTTTTCCCAGGAAGTAATTCAGGAATTATTACCCTTTCCTGATTTTTATCATCCTATAGAATTCCACATTTGCCACATAAAAAAAGAGCCACATGAAACTCCTGATACTTAACAAAATTAGGAGGTTGTCTACCATCATCTATGACAGCAGAAAAAAAGACCTAAATACCACTATACAAAGCCTTAACATCATGCGCCAATAAATCAGAATTCTGCAAACCATAAGAAGGAAAAAAATTATACTGCACCTTTTAATTAAGATCTGTAAGTAAACCAATTCCTCCTGAACTTGTACCTAAATGAATAACCAATTACAGACCTATAATTCCAATAATAATAGCATCGCGAAAAGAAACCAGCATTTGTGCCATCTGCACAAGATAAACTAATTGCTTTCCAGGTATGTATTAGGACTGAATTAAATACATATTTCAGCTTTCTTTTTAAGAAAATGTAGACACTTTTTCAAAAAGGCTTCTCTGTTATCAAGACAAGCCTGCTTAGCACCTGACAGCTCCTTGACACCACTTTCTCAGATCTATGAGGGAAGAAAGATGACTATACCATGTTGTCTGCTCAAAACTACATAATAACGAGTCGGTAAAATCAGCTACCAGCAAGTTAGAAGTTAGGAATGATTACCCCACAAAAGACAGAAACTGGCAATCAAACCTTGCTGAACCTATTCACTAACTTAAAGCTAAACAAGAAAGCTATCAAGTGGCTCAGCTGTGCAAACACTTGAGGTTGTAGAGCACAGAGAAGAGCTACAGTCATGCACACTGCAGTTGGATTGCCTTACTTTTAAATCTGATATAGCAGTCGTTGCAGAAGAGTTTGTTGTTTCGGATCCTGACTTCAGCTCCGGAGCGGGATCCACCAAGGTCGCATCCACAGGCAACACACTGAATCACACATGAATAATTAGCAACTCCTTCCAAAATACTAAGAAACAAAAATGCTGTTCAAAAGCAGCTCAGATTAAGCTCAACAAAGCCTGAACCATAACCCCACAATCACTAGAAGCAAATGTGCAACGATTAGTAGGTCAAAATGCAACCAACCCTGAGAAAGTATTTTAAGGCGATGACTGGACAATGAGTAGCAGAGATACACCAAGTAAGCAAACATAAAGCAGACGGTTTTTAGAGATTAGTTCATTAAATCTAATTTTCACTTTGGTTTCTCTGAAAACTACAATTGGTTTGGCACAAAAAAAAATTTGTTCTCTAGATGGCAACAGGAATTTTGGCACAGAACACCTGGGTGTGCTACTTGCAGATTTCCATGCGGCACTATACACTGCTGGTGTCCTCAGTCCCTTGGCACTCGAAGCAGCAAATACTCAGGGCACTCCCAATTTCCTGGGTTTGCATCATCAAAACAAGTTCTGATTTGGAGAGATGGGGCTGATTTAATTTTCCTTACATAAACACATAAGGGGCTTGACTGTTGCCATTCTAACATTGAACTATTTAGCTACGGTGGCTAAACTTGTACTTGCTGTGAATATGGACCACATCTGGAAAGAATGTAATCTGAAATATAATACTCCCCTTACTGAATTTACAAAGGATAGATAGTTTCCCTGCTTAATCAAGTAATGAATCTTTTAAATGGCAGTCTGTTCAACAGCTCATTAATTTTCAGAAATTTGGAAAACAGAAACTTGGCATTTTCTTACATAGGTTATGATCTACAAGGGGATTGTCTCACACAGAATACATGTCCTGCAGAAAAGTGAATGGCAACTGATCACTATGGATTAGTCCTGTCCCTCCTGCTCAGGTAGGCAAGACCAGGAAGAGCTTGTAGTCAATCCCTAGTAATACTCCAGGTGATGCACTTGAGCTGGGCACAGAAGACAAGTGTTCTGAACTAGACACAGAAACCTTTTTCTTGAAGTCAGAGAAGAAGGGTTCAACAGCACCTCCAAGTCATAGTCTAATTCCACATCTAGTCTGAGAGCAGGGGAACAGGACTGCTTTGCTGTCTTTTGCAGGCAAACATTTATTCTTTCAGCTCTGCAAATGTCCCAAGCCGATGGGAAATCATGTAAGTAGGTCTAGGTCTCAGAGCTGGGCATGAGCTTAGTTTGTGACTAGGGCTGAGTAGCATTAAAGACATTTTTTGGTATTGTTCTGGGTTTTATCCAGCCACATAGAACTCTTCCAACATGCCTTTATTTGGAAAACAACACATGGACACTCTCTGTTAAGACTAGACTAGACTTGCTTTGAAAGGATGGGTCATCTTAAATGATTCAACTGCCAGGGTCTAGGCTGAGATTTTAATTTTTTAGAGGAGTTGCTTTCTCTGGAAGAAGTGGTTCAGCATTTTCTGATATTTTGCCACCTATTCAAAGGATATCTTTGATCTCACAGTCAATGTGCTCATCTTGCTTATCAAAGTCTTACTTGTTAGCTCTGACATTTAAGAAACTTCTAGAGTGGAGGGCTAAATGCCTGCAAATGGGACTGCCTCATGGAAATATGCATGCTGTCAAGAGTAGAAGGCAAAGCAGGTGATTAGTAAGAACCCCTGTGAGCATAACACTGAGTAGCCATGCGTGCTCCTGATTAGTTCCTGTTCCTTCACAATGCGACTCCCAGCTCTCACCTTAAAGCAATGTAAATGATAACAAAGACCAAGAGATTCAATGATCATGGCTGCTCCTTTGCCCAGAATGTTATTACAGTATGAACAGATTTTCTTCCCACTGACTGACCTAAATATAGAATGAAAAACCTTAAAACCAGCTTGAAACTGTTTAAATGACAAAGAAGAGTTATCAAATACTTTTTGAGATTAAAAACAAAAAGCACATAGGGAAAAACTGGACCATTAGACTGCTTGGGGAAAGTAATGTTATTTAGAGTTGATCTGAAAGCCATGGAAAGCTGAAGTGTTATAATTTATATCAAATTTACATAGGAAAAAGTTACGAAATTCTGTCACATTCTTGGCACATATTTCATTGTCTAAAATAGCTTCTACAAATAAAAACTGTACTGTTAAGTTTGGAGAGTAACAACACAGGTTTTGTGCTCCTGCCTTCTTAGTTGTGGGGAACTATCCAGAAAGCTAAGTTTTACCAAGCACCCCTTCCAAGTCCCACCATCTGCACCTTGTTAGATAAAAGAAGGCTAGTCCTGGAGATAAAATATTATGTGAACTCTTTGAACATAAGCCATACGGAGGTAGTTTCCATAGATCTACCAAGGTGCTAGCAAATAGAAGTGAGAACAAGAGAAGCAAATATGGTAAAGAAAGTAATTTTCTTACATCATCCAGAATGTAAAAGACTAGCTTAAAAAAAAAAAATGGGGTCAATTTATCACTAAGTGCCTGAGAGTGTAAGAGCTAGTGAAGTAGTATTCACTGTTGTTACATAGAACACATGTAATTCTGTGTGGGATGATTCTCTGGAGTACTATCCTGAGGTATTTTTAAAATGTTTCAAGTACATAAAATAGCAGAGTTATCTACCCTACCACAGCTGAATTCCATTTTTGTTTCAAAATATGTTACAATTCTTGCTTTCTCTTCCTAGATTAAAATCAACATCCTACTCTGTAATTCTCCAGGGTTATGGGTTATGAGCATTCCTGAGTGCTCCTCAAGATGATATTGACCACATGCCAGGAAGTGAGGAGGAGAGACCAAGATGAGGGTCATTAAGCGTGGGTTTCAGGAATCTTTTGTTAAAACAAACCAGGGGAAATAAATGTCAGAAATACTATCTGGAACAGGCCTTTGCTAATCAGTTTGATAACCAACACAGAGCTTAGAGACTGCAGATAGATTATTCAAGTTTGTTTTTTTTTTAACCAATGTCAAGCAGTGATGACAAACCTGGGGAATTTTCTGAGTGACTGGAGCAGGGAGGTAATACCAGTCCATACTTCCACTGTCCTCTCCAGCTAGAAGACTCCAGGTATTTGTTAATTAATCAATGTTATGGGCAAGAATACTGCTGTAAGCCCAGCATGGGCACAAAGTCTGCTCTGCTCTTCAGTGCCATCCAACGTTTTTACCTTCCTGGAAAAAGGGCACCCACTCACCTGCTGCGTGTCTGGGACCCGGACTGGGAAGCAGAGACGGGAGACTGAGCCCGGGGAGCTGTCTGGGATGTGGAGGGGGCTCTTGCAGAGGTGGCCACGGGAGGTGCTTTGCTGGAGGAAGGAGTGCACATGTAGGCTCGGTTTGAAGTGGACACGGGACGACTAAAATCTTGACTAGAAGATAGAGATGAAGAGGATGCAGACTGGTTCAGCCATGAATGGTGCCTCCATGACCTCATTCCTGAAGAATCAAGATTGTCCAAAGACTCCCCTCTGTAACAGAGATACAAGTACCTCAAATGTAAATGGCATTACGGATGGAGCAACAGAACTACATGCTGATTTTTTTAAGAGAAAGCCATTATCCTTGCATTTTTAATATTTTCTAGGATGAATATGTTTGATGACTCTGAGCAATATTCTTCATGTACTGATTTAAAATGTGTGAGTAGCAAATTATTCTTTTTGTCCAGCTGTAGTTCTCATGGGAAAAAACATGCTAAGGAAAAGAGGTGGCACTTAACAGCTACTTAATAAAAGCAAAACACTTCACTGCAGCCTTATCAGGGTGAACTGTATCAAAATCCACACAGCAACAGACCTCAGATACCAACTTTGTTTATGTTTTCTCCAAGGGATACCAGATAGAAAATAACAATCCACCCAGACTGGATAGCATCACCCAGGTACAAGGTGTTGGCCCAATAACCAAACACTCTCCTGACTGATCACATTGTGACCAAACACTCCAGACTTCGTCTGTCTCCTAAGTGACAAATCCAACATTCATACATTAAATAAAGCAAAAATAAACTCTCCAAACTTTATGACACATTTCTATGTTGAAAAAGGTATACTTCCTAGCCACAATAATTAATTTCCAAAACAAATTGCTGTGTTGAAATTCTTAAACACATGTGTCAGTCACAAGGCACACTATTGATTTCCATTGCTGCTATACCAACCAAGAAATAAGCAGCTGAGTTATTCACAGGTCACATCCACATTCCTTACTTGCAAAAAACCCCATTCAATCCCAGCTGTAATAGAGCTACTTTCTCCTATTTGTGCGGCTATGCAGTCTACCTTACGGCATTTCACAGACTCAATTTGTTTCTATGCACTGTAATATAAGCTGAGGTTCAGAATAACTGAAGAAAACTGTCTGATGACAGACAGAGTTAATTTTTAATGTGACTCCTACCTCCTCATACTACTGCTGTACAGACTAACGGGCTCCTTATGTATGCTGGCACTGCGCTGCCTAATCCAGCTGCTGTCCGTGTGTAGAGATGTTTTCTTTCTCATTTCCTGAAGGATTTGCTGTCTCTCCAACTCTGCTGCAGACAGGTTTTGCTCCTTCTGAGACTTCTTCTGTGACTCACCCGTGTTCCAGGACCTTTCTGAATACTTGGTCTGGGTACCTGTGCAGACAACATGTGCACACATCAGCTAGACACCCCAAGGCACAAAAGCAGTTATTATCCTGTCAGCACTCTGGCTATAATTCCAAGAGTTATTGTTAATCACTCCATTCACAAGTTATTCCAGGTCCCTTTTACAGCTGGGTAAAACTTGCCAATACAACATTACTAAAATTTTTTTGTTTGCATTTCCATTAATGTAGTCTTTTACATAATGCTTAATGTAAATGCATTTTCCTTCACTTCCTAAGTGTATATGCATAGGCATTTGTGTGTAAATACTCCTCTTTTTAAAAGGGTATCACCACTTTTCGTGCCATAATTTCAACTCTTCCTCCAATATAAACTGAATCATGTGTAAAATACGTAGTTAAATAATGGGATACACTCTTTCTCTTTACGAGTTCATACTCTTCTGTAAGTAGTCTCTGTTTATAAGAATTTCTTTCTTTCTGCCTTCAAGGCACTAAACACACTGCTTTATATAGATATAGAAGGGACAGAGAAATCTTTCAGTTACTTGGATTATGTGTTAACTACTGAGTTGAAATGAAACTTATGGTATAGATGATCTTTGAAAATTTGGAAGGGTAAACAAATAAGCAATCTTTCTCCAATGGGTGTTGACATATCAGAAGGCAACAATTTTTTATTTCCTAGATCCAGTACCTATTCTTTATAGTAAAAATAATTAAGAAAATTATTCAGCAATTAGTCATTCAATTAAAATTTCAATCCTTTTAAATGCTGCTCTTACTATAGAGTTGCTCTTGGATTTATTGGTGATTATAATGGATTATAAAATACTGTGGAAGTTTACTTTCTCTTTAATTTCAACGACAGCACTTTAATGGATGAAAACAACATTTTTAATCTGCAATATATCCCCTAATACATCTACTTTTCTTTGATTACTTGTGATTACTCTTTTTAACCACGTTTTAGACACAAAAGTAGCTTGCAGGCATTTTTGACTCCAACATATTCATAAAATTGGTTTGTTTGCTTTGCACATAATTCCTCTAATACAACCAAAGTCATAGAACTGAACTGGAGTCCAGGACACAAGCCATCATGACATATTGAGAGCTGACTTCTTGCTCTGTTATTACTACACTAACTGAAATTAAGAAGACAAAAAGTTGTATTAAATGCATTAAATTCATCATCTTGGTATGCTCAGCTTTTTTTTTTTATTGACAGTTAGTGTATCAAATCTACACATATCTTCAGTGATATAACTGCATGATTGATTTTATCTCATGTAAAAATCTGTCATTAAAATTTAGGCATCTAAGAGCCATTTGCAATCACCATCTTCAAGAGTAGTTAATTCTATTTGTCCTTGGCTTTTATGTTGACTGTATGATTTTCCTCTTTCTGTTGAAACTTCATTAAATTGGGGCATAGTATGAATTTATAATGCAGCTATCAAAAAGAATACTAAAAAATCATTTTCTTAGGATGACTATATGTACACATCTTAATCTTTTCCTTCCTAGTCTCCTCCCTCTCTACCTGCCCCAAAAATTAAATATCATGGAAATTACACATTACTTACCATTTCTGATTGTGTTGAATTCATTCAGTTCTGTAGTTGACTTTGACTTATTCCTAAGAATATAAAAACATTAATTTCTCTATCTTAATTACAAGCCCTCATTACAGAAAAAGCTCTTATCATTGCAAATGATAGAACCAGTCCTCTCTTTATTTCACCATCCCTCCCATCAACAACTTATGCTGTACTTCAAACAAGAGGCAAAAAATAACTAAACACCTATGGGAAAAGAACATGTCAATATTTAGATGTCAATAGATAATCACCAATTAAAAGTTAAAATTTTGTACTGAAAGTTGTCAGTGCTTCAGGCATAAGGAACTGATCATTGTACTTGTTGCAACAAAAACATGTAAAAAACCAAGTCCTTTCCTGCAGAAGCTTTGTGAAGACTATGGTCTGATGAAGGAGTGAGAACTTTCAGAGCAGATTTACAATTGGTTTGGCTTCAAGAGAAACTTAAATCATACTTCAGCACTTTTACTAGACTGTAAGCAAAATACCTCCTCAAATCCTGCATGCAAATTTTTTTTGGGAAAAAAATATTGTTCACTGATTATACCTAGCAGCATAATTTTTTAATGAGTTTTAGCCAAGAAATGGCATTCAACAAATGTCACATAAAGGGAGACAAATGGCAAAAAGTTTCTTTTCTGACTGTACAGAGCAGGAACTTTGTCAACACCTCTGTGCTGTATTATTAGTCTCAAGTAGTACAGCCAAATTTTTGGTATTAAAATAACTCACAAAGAAAGGATTTAAAAAGATACTGTGCTTGGTCCTAACTCAAAACTGCTACATTAATGTGTTTACATGTACAGCATTGGCTGTACAGCTGTGTTTTGAAGGAATCTTGTCCTTTATCTGGAGATAAATGAAGCATAAACTGGATCACATCTTGCTTCTTTAAGTTCTTACTGACTGTCCTATGGTGTGGACCGATTTAAATATTTATTAAAGAAGATGCAAGTTTCACAGCTGCCTGTAGTGAAGAAATAAGCAGTGTCCTCCTCACATATATAACCAAGATGTAACTATTTAATGCATGCTCCTTCTGAAATTAGATCTGGATCTTCCACTAGTAACAGATTCATTAATTGTTACTTGTAATTTAAATCTCTCTTTATATAAGAGAGGTATGCTCAATTCAACTGCAAGAAGTGCTCAAATACACAGCAGAAGTCATCTTTCAGAAATACTGTGAGATGCGATGCAAAACAAAGGTTTGATTTGTAAAGCAAGAGTTTTCAACTTAAAAATAACTTGTGTAAATTACAAGAGCAACATGCATTACCTCCCTGATAAATATGCTGCTGCTGCCTCTTACTTACCTTCTTGTTTACTCTCTCAAGTTGCACAACCCTAATTGGGATGACTGCACCTTAGTTTGTAGAGCGTGCTATGACACAACCACGAGATATCCGAAATTGTTTTCTAGCCAGGTAACTTTAGTACCACCCACATATTCATCTCATCTCATATTATTTCTCTCTGTAGAATCCCACTGACAAACTGTTGCTTACAACACAGGGGATAATTTGACAAAAGTTTGGCCTCTTGTTTCTTCAATATGAAAACATGCCATAAAAACTGCAAAACACAGCAGCGATCCAACACATACATTTAGCTGCTATGAATAAAGTTTGTTAGAATTTTAAAAGTTTTCTAACAAAGAAATGGTGGTGTTACAGTCAGTGTTGAGATTCAATATTGGATATACCTGTCAGCAAGTGACTGTCCAGGTTGCTCCTGAATGGTTTTAGAAACTTCATAACGCTCATAATGCCTTTTGGAGAAAAAAAAAGAAACATTATGTTCATATACAAAAAGACATACTTAAACACAAATAGTTCATAAGGGAAATAATCCAAAATAGATCCTTAAGGGAAGAAAAAAAGCAGTTTAAATTAAACACCCCAAAAGGTAAAGTTCAAAAGAGTTTTAATTTAACATCAGAAATTCAACTGATAAAAGAAGGCAGAATAACAAAAGTTGTCATAAAAACTGCCCGAAATTACATTTTTGTGAAGTGACAAGGAATCCAAGCATGAGCATGCCAAAATGGTTATTGCTAAAGATGTTTCAACTATGTATTAATTCAATTTCTTATTACCTGTCAATGAGAGGATGGCCAGCTCGATCCTCTATTGTTTTAGATACTTCATAGCGCTCATAATGTCTAGAAGCAAAATAAAGATAAAATGCATATTAAAAAAAAATTCTAGAAATTGAACAAACAGTAAGTATCCCCAGAGAAAACTGAGAAAATTCAGATGCATTAAAAGAATCCCAAAAACTAAGGTGCTGCAAAAATTAGAAGCATCAGTATACAACAGTGATTATCTCATCCATTTCAAAGTGAGGAGGAAAATCTTGTCCAAACACAGCAGATCTCTAAAAGTTACATTTTTATTCTAGAAGAGTGTACAGGTGCAGTTTATAAATTCACAAAGTTCCACAGACAACACTTTTCAGCTGCACTTTGCAGCAAGTATCGTGCCTCTGTGGGTGTTTATATAACATTTCAGATTTCAAGTCTTATCTTTGGATATCATCTTATAGCAAATATTAAAACACCAGATATTTTAAAGGCCAGTTTCACTGAACTTGCTCCTTTACTATAAAGCAAAACCCCCCATGTTTAGCAAAACACATCCTTCAGTAGCAACCTCAGAAACAATGAAATCCCCATCGACTAAAGAATGTAGCAGGGGTTTAGATATGCAGATATTACAGCAGCTTAACAAGCTACTGCACAAAGTCCTATTATCTTGCAACTGGGACAAGTGAAAATTGTGAAGTTACCCGGCTCTGCTGCCAGGAAGAACCTGTTCTGCCGTTGTAGCATTGTGTCTCTGCTTTGCTCAGCAGGTATATCAAGCAGCAGTCATTTAGATTAAACTAAAGTAACTCTGGGCCTTACAACCTCCTCTGGAAATATATGCAGTTTTTTTAATCATATTACTTTCTCCTAAGACTTAGCTTGATACCATGTGTTCTCTTCAGTCATCTCTTATTACTTTCACAAGAAAAGGAGAAAAACCTCAAGAGAAACCTCAAGCCATAAGTCAGACACAAGGCAGTAATGCAAATGCAGACAAAAAAAGGAAAAGCTACGCGTTTAATCGTTTTCAGATAGATTAATCTCCTCTAACAGTAGTCTGAAAACCAGGAAAGAACACAAACTTGAGAACTAATAATTGTTTGTTTGTTTTTTAAATCAATGTTCTGAAGAAGTTAATGAGAGAACAAAATATATCCACAGTGGATATTTCTAACAGGTTATGATATGTAAGCCAGTATCGGTTCACTCATATACCATGATATTCCTCACTGACAAATTTACCCAGTAGTTAACTGCAATTAAGCTTTATTGTTACACTGTTGAATTAAAATAAGAGAGAAAAATCAGTCAGACATTTGTTGGAAAAGTCCAACAAAGTTCACTTGGTATTTCTTCTGGAAGCCCTGTATGTTGAGTCACTGGCTCTCAATTTACAGGCTTATGCACAATTCTTACAAAATTTTCTCATTAAGTCCTTCAGATTGTCTTTCATCTGGCTGTAATTAATGTATTTACATATCCCATTTAAAAAAAAAAAACAAAAAAACCTGAAGTAGGGTAATATAGCACTTGATTCTTGGGGAGGAGCTTTGTATTATGCCTGATCCTTCTGTCCTTGGAAAGAACAACTATTGTATGGTATTTTGTGCCTCCTGATTGCAGCATGAATCTTACATGAACATCCTTATATGTTCAGGACAGGCACAGCCCCCTTAGAAACAGATTTGAATTGGCAGAAGGAAGAGAAAGTGCATCCTAGCACAAGTGCACACCTCTGGTACTGAGGCACCTCCGCGGGGACCTCCCTTTGCCTTTCCGCTTGCCGCCTCTGCTCCTCCATCTCTGCCTGCTGCCTCTGCTCCTCAGCGTATTGCTGCTCCCTTTCTTTACGCTGTCTCTCAAGCTCCAGCTCCTCGGGTTCCTGTTCTTGCTCAAAATGCCGGGTTGCTTCTTCCTGGATCCTTCGTTCCTCCTGAAGCCTCCTTCTTCCTTCTTCTTCATGCAGCAAGCTGCTTGCCAGCTCGTTATCCCCATCTCGTTCTGGCTCCTCAGGAGCATTTGCTTCAGGGCTTTCTCTCCAGCTGGACACAGGTGGAGCCTGAGAAGTGACAGATGTTGTATTTAGGGTTAGAACAGTCTGCTCCTGTAGCAAAGATAAAAGAAAAAAGATCATGTTTTTAGGGAAGGGACCTGTTTTTTAAATAGATTGCTCACTCAGAAAAGGTAATTTATTCTATAATGTAAGAATGTATTACAATCACCCCCAGCACTTCCAGTGCAAGATGCAGGACACAGTTTGGTTTCACGTTCTCCTAACTCAAGAACTTCAATCGACACACCAGCCTCAGCAAGCACCACAGGCAGCATGGCCACAACTATGTGAAACATTCTGCTTTCCAAAATATCACTTACATGTCAACTCAAATACTCATGGAAAACAAACACTTGCATGATATCCAGCATTTCTCCCTATTGTTTTGACTTAGAAATCTGAGATCTACTTAAGAGTGTATACACAAAGATATACACTGCAACCTATATCAGACTGACGAATTTCACATGAATCCTCATGTTGAGCAATCTCCCACTCTCTTCCATTCTCCTACCATTTCAAAGTCAAGCCTCAGACCTATCACTCTATGACTCTTCTCTCGAAAATGAGAAAAGGCCTTTCTGTGGTCAAAAGATGTTTTAGTTGCAGAGAAAAAATGATGTTTATGGGTCCATCAAAACCCCTAATGACAGAAAAATACAAAATGGTTTACATTCTTGTACAGCAAAGTCCTCTAACAGCTCAAAAAGCTTTCATATTAAAGTTTTAAGCTTTAAATTATGGTCTACTTATTCATGACTGTGTAAACACAACTGATCTAGCTTGCATGCCTGAAGCAGCACTCACTTATCAGTAGAGATACCTCAGATAGTTCCCATACTCAGGGAAAAATTTGTTCATCTTCCCATAAACAACAATCAGAGAATTCAGCATCTACAGAAACTACACACATTCAGAGTTATGAAATATATAACTGGAAATCTATTGACTTGATATATAAATTTATCAGATAAACTGTCTGCCAGTAACAAGCCAGATACTTACAAACACGCTTCCTGATAAAGTATTGAAGCAGAATTCCAACAAGTAGCATTAGGTGGTAAATAAACAGCAAAAGTGACCATTTATCATCACAACAATTAAGACATGCTGTGACTTCTTGCCAACATATTTTTTATGTTAGTTACCTAACTAAGGAAGAGATAAATTCAACATATATCAATACATCCCACCTACTCTTTCCATCCTATTTCTGCAGTCTTTTTCTACCAAGGCACAGACAACAATTTATTTTCCAAAATGAGAAGATAAATGACATAAACAACCTAATTATTTGCCTGCTTCCATGCATCTAGTATAAGGGAAGAAACCCCTCATGAAATTAATCATCAAAGCTTTATTCACAGCCTACCTCATCAAAATACTTGGAGCTCTCTTTTTCTGCTTCTTGCTTAGCTCGTAGCCATTCTTCCCTCAGTTTCTCTTGTTCTCGTTGGTATTTCTCCTGTTAGGTCAGATTGAAGTTAAACATGCAAATAAGAAACATGGTATTTTTTTATTTTCATTAAAATGTACACTGGAATTTAATGTGCTTTTTTAACAGACCAAACAGACCAGACAAAAAACAACTCTGAGCTCCACTAGAACATTAAGTCTGCCACAAATGAAATCCTGGCTCAAATACAATCCAAAGGAGCCTCTGTAACTGATTTTTTGAGACTCCAGGCTTATTACATGCTAAATCCCACAAAAGGCAACCTCATAGTCCCTGTCCTCCAGTTTAGTTACCATTTGAACAAAAAACCCCCAGCTATCTAAGGTATTTCTGAAAAAACAGAGTGGTTGTATTTAACTTGTAATTAGGCACATTAATATGGTAAATATGAAGAGATCACTAAAGTGAATTAGTGAGCAAGAACTCTCATTCTTTTGAAATGTTACCTTAAACAAAACCCAGTTTCTGGACCTTCAAATTTGTCTTTTGATTATGACTTGGTATGAAATCAATAGACTGTCTTAAAGCATTGCTCAAAGCATATGGTCAATGTTTTGGTGGTTTTGTCAGACACCACTTTTATCTTGGGAAAAGCAAAATATTTAAGGATGTCAAAAGTACTCCTTCTAAAATGTTGGAAATAAGAAAAAGAAAGACTTTGGTTCCTTTTTTAGTTTTCTGAAAATTCATTACTTGGATGATGGGGAAGAGAAAGATAATTATTACTCTGGTCAAATTTATCACTTCAGGACTAAAAAAGGAGAAAGAAAGTGATGGCAGATGCCTGAGTCAGCTCTCAAGAAAGGGGACCCAAGGTTTGCACTCTTTAAAGCCATCTCTTCAGGTATCAAACAGAAGATCCAAACCACAACAGAGACTACAGGTAAGTTTAGGAAGGCACAGCTGCTGGCCTGCAGAATTTGCAAGCTACAAGGAACAACAAAAGGTGAAAAATTCAAAAAGCAAGAGAGATTCTATGCTTGTATTTTGACACCACAGTTTTCTGCTGAATACAGCCAAAGAGGGCTTGTGCAGAATAAATTACATTCACTGATGCCATCAGACTTCAGACAACAAACTTTAATTTCATTTGCAGAGATATATCTTGCTGAACATGGTTGAATGTGCTTGCACTTCATTGAGCTGATCTCTTTGCAGAAATGCATGCTTGGGTTTTTTGTGCTATCCTGAGATTACAAAGAATGCCCCTTTCTTCCCTCAGCAACACCTTCCTCCAGCTCTAGCTGCTGGTTATCAAGGTGGTTTTGCATTAGCAGGTTCAGTTTTCTGACTCGAAGGTCCTAGGAACCAGCCTGATTCCAACTGCCCAGCTGATTGCTAAATGAGAGGACTCTAGCAGGCACCTAACCATGGTGCTGGCTGCCTCCTTTTCATATACGAATACAAGGCAGTATTGATGATTGAAGGCAAAACTCAGGCTAGAGGCATTTTTCTTACTGGGAAAAAAATACAATTCATATTCAGAAGTGAAGACCCCTTAGTTCTTCACTTATCCTTTAAATTCTGTTGTCATTAAGAACATACCAGCCCCAACAGATGAAGCACTTCTGGCTATAGTGAATACATGTTGTGTGTTTGATTTTATGAAACTCACTAAAGCATTGTCCTTTTTTTTCTGAATAACTCCTACTGTGCACAACTGTGCAGGCCACAAAATGCACCTGAGAGTCTCCCCAGGCCATCAGTAAGAAAAATTGCAGAAGTCACGTGCTACTTTTCTTTCCTTGTTGCTACACACAGGGGATCGACAGCTCATGATTATGAAGATCAATTATACCTGCAACAAACGATCCTGCTCTTTTTGCCATTTTTCCTGTCGTTTTCGCTCTTCCTCTTGATCCCAAACCCGACGACTAGGAGCGCTGATGGATGGCACTGGGAGCTAATACAGCACAGAAATGAAATCATATTACCCTCTTTCCATGTAATCAACACTACACATTTTTAAAACAAAATTTTTAGAGTGAGAAATAGAAGCCACTACCAACACTAGAGCTTTATAGTGACAAAGACATAAATTAGCTTTTTCTTCAAAAAAAAGCAACCATGCCTTGACAAAGCAAATCTTAGCCAGTACTCTCAGCTTTGATCAAAATTGTATAGCAGTGTAAAAAACAATATAAAGCAGAGAGCTTCTTGAAAAGACTAGGATTACACAACCAACTAGTAGTTTGCAAATAATACTTACATCAGGCATTGCGGGCTCAGGGCCTCCTGGAAGATTTGGAAGGCAAAAAAGAGAAACCATTAGACCCTTACATAACTACTGCAAGGCTGGTGTAACTGTGGCAAGTCTGAGCTTCAGACTAATTTTTCTCCTTAGTAAGACATGCTTGCCTTTGCCCTGCTGAACTTTCTCGAGGGCAGAATTTATTAGGTGTTTACAACTAATGTGCACAATTGTTTCAAAGCTTTGCATGCTTACAAGTGCCATCAACAGTTGCTTGAATTAGCAGTACATCTCCCACTGCAGCAACACAAAGTTTCTTCACTATACTTCTCCTAGTATTATTGTTGTGAAACCCAACTGTTTACCATGACTAATACCCAGAGCTGCACAAGGGTAGAGAAGCTATTCATCTATGCCCTTGTCATGAATTAAGAGTAACTGACATCCACTGGAAACTTCTCTACCACAAAACCATGTATTTCTGCTGTCCAACTTTCCTACTTCCAAACGCACACTTGAATTCAGTGAAATTGTCACCATTCACCACAAACATTTTGCTATTTGAGGCTATCACACTTGGCCTTAATCATCCTGTGACAAGATAATTATTAGAGAGAGATGTGTATTATGCTAATTTATTAAAAATTGAGAAAATGGGAAAAAAATACAAATTTAAGTGTAATCATTTCTTAAGCACCATCACTATTTTTGTTTGTTGTCAGTATACTTGTTATCTAGCTGTCAAAATTTAAAAAAGTTTAAAAAAGAGGCATAAAAGAAAAAAATTGCAACAGTATTCTGAAGTATAATCACAAGAAGTGGAAAAAAAGATCAAATTTAGGATACAAAAGATTCTAATGAGTCACAGGTTAACATCCATTCTATATACATACAATTTTGTCTTCACTGTCAGATCACAACAGCCACAGTGAAAAATCAGGTAATCAGCTTAATCTATTGCAATTGTGCCAGGAGATATTAAAGGGAAGCCTAGACATCACCTATTTTTGCTCCCCTCTTCTCTCACCCCTGTAAGCTTATGCTGAACTCCACAGGAATCCTCATGTAATTGCAAAGCTAAAGTGCCAAAAGTTTAAAATAAACAAGCTGCACTGAACAAGCACTCTAGAAAAACAACCTTGTCCTCCCCCTCAAGCACAAGTGGAATATCCCAAATGTTGTTATAAAAATAATTTTTAAAAAAACCAAATTTCTGCCAGCCATAAAATAAAAAACAAACAACAACAACAAAACCCCAACAAAAAATAACCAGCAACAAAGTACCACCATATTGCAGATACAATATTGCAGATACAGCAGAAGTATTTAAAAGCAAATAGAACCACAAACACAGATATATGCTGTGGCACTTCACATACCGCTTCTGGCAAAAACCAGAAATCATCACCACTAAAAGCAAAATCCTGGCCCCACACAAATAATTGGCAAAACTCAGCTGAGCTTCCAGTGGGCCAGAATTTCGCTCTTTCAGGCTACAGCAAAACAGCACGGCATACATAGCCCAAAGACAGCATAAGACATACAACATTAGTGGAAGTATGTGAGCTGTGACATGCAAAATGCTGAAAAGCAACCTACAAAACCAAAATTGAGTGCCTCATTTATTGCTTTTTTTAAAAATTCTCACATATGAAATTCAAAATTTATATTGGTCTTCTTGGGATCTTGTGACATCACCACATAGTGGAAATCCAGCAGATGCCTTTTTACCCCAATTTACACAAAAGCACAGAGCTGCAACTCAAACTCAAATCCAGAGTTAAATACTTCATCAACAGCTCTGAGATCTTCTCTAAACCCCTGCTGGAATATTCACCATTATTCTTGTTTTGTAGGTAGTAGCAAACCCGAACAGAGAGTGCCACCCTTCTTACTTCAACCCAGTGGAAAAAAAAAAAAAAAAAGTATGAACAACACAGAAGAGATTTAAACAGCTATAGATATAAGAGAACACGCAAAGACCCATTACCACAAAGGTAGACCCATGAATTGTAAGAATAACCTGATGACCCTGGGGAAAGAAGGGAAATTAATTATGTTGCTTCGTTGTAGCTGCAGAAACAACACTGAAGAGGTAGAGCACCCAGCACCAGACTTGTTAGGGAGAGTGTGCAGCAGGAACAATTTCATGGAAGTACATGAAATGTTAGCTCTTTGATTTACCTTGTTCAAAAAATTGTGACCGTCTTTTAAAGTTTTTCAAAGAAATAGGTTCAGATGCTATTTGAAAAATACAAAGAATACAAACAAGTCAATGAGGGGCTTTTTTAATGACCATAACCACTGGATAAGAAACTTCTGTTTGACCTCCCATACACTGCAACATCAGAAAAACAAAAAGGCCCTGAATCACAAAGGAAAATCTTAGGAGATTGCATCATATACAAATTAGGATTTCATTTTATCAGTAGCAATGTCCAACTATAAAAACAGCACAAGTATCAAACAGGCTCAGATTCTCCCTGTCTAATTTAAGCATCCTTGTCTGGGATGCCAAATTGGGAGAAGGAGCCTAATGACCACTCGAGACTACCCATAAACATCCAAAGGACAAGTGATATCTTGGGGGAATTTTTTCTATGAATTGCCATGTGTATTCAAGCTGAAATGAAATACACAGTTCCTACTTAAGGATTATCAGTCCATTAGGAAGAATACATACCTGGTTTCTCTCACTGCTGTCAAGTAAGATTATAACTCCTCATAGCATCATATGCAATTATTACTTATATCAGAATCATCAACATTGTTCTCCAGGAATAAAAATAAAGTAAGAATAGTGAAAACAGCCACTAACTCCAAAAACCTCACAACTGAAAGAGGCAGGCAAAAATAGCAAAAAGTTGAGTACACTACACTCTTCCTGGGCAGTGAAATAAGTCAATACACAAACTCAGTCTCCATACAATGCAGTAGCAATTACAATAAATCATGTGCCTTCTTCTCTTTCACCCTTACCACACATTAAATTTACAACCACTAATGCAGACACAGGGGGCTTTGTTGCAGCTTTGTTGTCAGTTCTCAAACTGCCTAGCAAACAGTGGAAGCAAACTTCACCCAGTTTGGATGCAACAAGATGTCTGTGATATCTGTCTGGCTTTTGGTTCTTAAAGGTGTCACTTCCCCTGCTGTGTAACACTTCCAGTCATTACAGGTTCAGTGTCTGTGCTTGTCACAAACCACACAATTAACAGATGAATAGCAACAGTGGTTTACCTCTTTGTTCATTAGAGCCAAGGTCCCCTTGCATTCCATTTATCAATTTTGCTTCTGTATTCTGGAACAAACAAACATAAAAAAATAAATGTCTTCGGCTTATTAGATTTGTGGAAGTTTATCCAACATATCCAACCACACATCTTTCCTGATAGTAACTATATGTCATGAAACACTTCATAATACTTTATAGAAAGATACAAAACAATCTAAAACTTCCTCAGTGTAATTTATAATAAAGCTACTGCATACATTTGAGGCAATCAATAACCAGCTGTGAACTGCTGCAGAAATAAAAAAACATTAGTTTGCAAGAAAATGCCAGAAGCCAAGATCTTCCTATTTCAGCTCCTTGGCAGGCAGGTTTTCATTTACAAGTAATTTAAAAGCACGTATATGTCTGTTCTTTGGGGCTGCAATTTCCACTTAGGCTAATAATTCAAAGTCTTCTCTGAAGAATAAACACTATATAAACTACATATAGTTTTAGTCAAAAGATAGTCTGCACATGTTTTAATATTTATCATTCACCAGTGTTTTCTCATGAATAGACAGTAGCAAGTCCTTAAAACATCTCATTTACCTTAATACATACACAGCTACATCTCCATATTTCAGGTATTTCAGGTCCTATACTTGTACTTGTGTTGCTTAAGGAACATAAGATTTACAAGTTCTCTTCTCCATCCTCCCCCTATCAAGATATTAGATTTTTTTTCTTCCTCCCCCCAGCTCCCATGAAGCTTTAAAAACATACTCACAGAACTTTGAAGGCTGCTGGAGAAATCTCTTTTTGTAGATGTGGTGGAAGCATTTGAAACCTTTTCTCCTGAAGTTGCATCAATCCATTTATTTTCAGATGTACCTATAATGTTGGTAGCCATACTGGTGAGATTGAGGATTTTATGCCTTACATATGGCAGGGAAGGCAGGTCTTTGCCCCAATCTTTTTGATATGTGGAGGATCAAGAAATTAATATAGACAGTAACGTCAAAGAACAGAACAACAGCTAGTGAAAACATTAAAATAACACAAGAACACACAGAAGAGGGAGACACACAAATCAGGTGGAATTTGTGAAGACAGGAAAAAGGGCATCTATAGCAGACCGCCTTCCCCAAAAATGTAGTGTTAGTCATAAGCTAGGTAAAAGTTCGCCAAATATTTTTCTGATATGTGCTACAGCAGCTGAACATTAGAGAGGAGTTAGCATTCATTGGAAGCTATTTCATTTGTGTTAGTAAGGATTGAGAAAATTCTTCAAATTTTACTCACTCAAGGTACACTGAGACTCATACACTATCCAGGGAAGGGTCATTTTCATGTCCATGCTCATCAGGAAACAGAGAGGGGGAAGAAAATGCAGTCTAAACTAAACTAGCAAAATTGATGAGGTGAAGACAAATTATGCTTTTCTCACATATTCCATTTCTCCTCTCCCTACCCTTCCTACTGAAAATTTTATTAAATTATTTTTTGCCACTAATCTCACTCTTCAGATGTATTAGGTCCTATAAAGTGATTTGTTTCTTGTCTCTTCCTAACCCCACTGTTTTTACCCCAGTTTGCTGATAACTTATTTACCTAGCTTCCCACTAAAGGAGTGTTCTGCATTTATACTGTGAAAGAAATCACTGGTCACACTTCTAACTCTACAAAAATTCTTCTAGAACTTGGAAAGGGTTTCCTGATTAAAACCATGGCAAGTCAAGACATGCTACAAGCCTGTCAAGCCAGAATGGAGACTCTCCCTACCCAGAATGAGTAGTATCATTCTGGAGCGATAACAGCACCACAATATTTGGGTCAATGGCTAGAATCATAACACACAGATACTACATCACCCACAGGCTTATACCTCACTTCAAATGCTCCCTGAAGAAAGGAACACAAGATCCTCCTTCCCTGAAGGAGGTGGTGACTGAGAGACAGGGCCTTTAAAAATTATTACCCTCTAGAGGTCAGACCCTCTTTATTTTTGTGGTATGGCAGGAAAGAAAATGTTAGATTTCTTTTTGTGCTGGTTGCACACTTTTTTACCTGCCCATCCTCTAAGAAACAGGCCAGAGCACAAGAGTGAGGTCAGTAGTTCAATGTTTTGCAGATTTGCTTGTCAAGACATTTCTAATGCACAAGCAGTTAAAAAAGCAGAGTTGTGTTAAAATGCAACAGACACGCTGGCAAACTACTTAGCTTAGATACGTATTACTGCTGTAAGGGTAATAAGGACTCTCAGCTGTCAGGTACAGCAGAGACAAAGCTTATTTGCCTTACAGAGCATACAGTATCTGCCTGACGAAACAACTCACCATTCTTTCCATATCGTCTGACATCCATGACCAGGTTTCCAGTTTCTAGTGCTCTGCTGATGGCCTCTTCCCACTGACTGTAGTCCATATGTGAAACCTTTGTGCCATTGACAGCAATGATCTCATCATCTACATGCAGCTGACAAAGTGCTGCAGGGCTGCCTGCAGAAAACAGAAGAAAAATGTTATTATGTCTCCATTCTTTTTTTTTTTTTTTTTTCTCACAGTTATGATTGGAAGAGAGTGGATTGGGGAAGCATTCAAAGAAATGATTAATGGTGGATATTTAGAAAGTCTTAGAAAACTTCACTACACTGTAACATAGGCTCAGTAACCTCAGTATCAAAGTAGCTTCTCAATTTAGAACTTATGGGAACAATAAAGAAATCAGTCTTCTGGACTTGTAAGCCTTCAGATTCTGGCTAGCCTATTTAATAAACAACCTCTGTGCTCAGTCTTCCCTTCACTAACTCACCTTTATAAGCTGCAATAGTTAGAGAGAGAGGAAGCACCACAATGTCTATATCCAGCAATTAGCTGAAATTCAGCCAAAGTTTGGGTAATCCTCTTATTTGTCAAAAAAAATCAGCCTGCACTTTGTTAATTCCAGTAGAAGCTGGCTTTCTCATATTCTCATTTATGTTTTCTGAGCTCTTTATTGCTTTATGCTGCTTTATTGCCTTGCTAAAATTGTTTGCTAGGTCTGGATTCGTAATTGGACTCAAGATATTGCTGGGTTCTGTCCCACTAGACTTTTCTGGATTGTACTTATTTTATCTCTTAAGAGCAAACTTTATGGCAGGCTGGACTTTGAATCTACTGATATTTTGCAAGGCAGGCTGTACTTTATACTTTTTTTCATCTGCTACACATTGGCAGACAATCTCACTAGACTAAGGACAGAGAACATAGAGGACCACTTCATAAACTTTTTCTCTATTTAATTCAGAAATGAATGAGCTGAGAAACTCAGACTCTCCAAGCAAAATTTTATGGATTACATATGAATGGTTCTTCCATTAAGAATTATCCCCTTAGCAGAACAGAAAATAGAAAAGCCAAGTAAAAATATAGTTAAGGATTGCACAATAAACCCTGATGTTAATAAAACAAGTTTGAATTGCACAGTGAAAGTATTTTCCAAAGTAGTGAAATCCACACATCTGACTTAAAATATACCAAGAACATTGGTATTACATTACCCTACTACATTAGAAACAAATGTGGACAAGTATGACAGAAAAATTTAGACACCATATGCTTAATTCTGAGTGTCTTTTGACTCATTAGTAAAATGCTGCTGTAAATCTAGCTCATCCACTGAGGATTCAAATGGCTTCACACATGAGAAAGTTAAGAAATTAAGAAGTGCTATGCTTCCTAGTAGTGCACAAAAAATTATTCATCATCGCTCACTAAAAAGCTACACTAGCTACATTGCTAGAAGAACATGGCTCCATATTATATCTTTCTGCATCATTCTTAAAATAAGGACTAAAATTTTCATTTGCAGTTATCACTACTAATTGCTTTTAAGCAGTATTGTAGAAGAAAAGGTAATGTTTTCATCTGGAGGAGGAAACACAGACTATGTTTAACTGGGAAAAACATGCATTTCTAGGAGTCAGGAAGAGGTTAAAGAACCATGGATCTTCAAGTCTGTTAATGGAAGGTACAACTAAGAATGCTATTGAAGATACTAATAGTGAAGTTACTAACCTCAACATCATCATGTAACATTTGCAATCATGTCTGATATTTAGTACCACACAGTTTAATCTGGACTAAGCCTTATGCTCATGGTAAGGGAAAGCTTCAGGGCTCCAGCACAGTCATCAGAAGTCAATTTCTGTTTTGAGTTGTGACAGAATAAGCCCCCAGTAACAACGACAAAAAGATTGTGCTCTTTTTATTCAAATAATTTGTCAGGGATGAGTCTGGGCTCAGAGGTGTGAACAGTATACCTCAGCTAAGTTTTAGAAAAGGAAGGGAGTTGAAGATTGCACAGTTTTTCCTAAACTATTACTAGAAATGCATATCCAGACCATACTCCAACCATACAGATTGAATGAACAGCAGCAGTCTCTAAATCTGGACCCAAAATAGCCAGAACAACTCACACTGCTCAATTTTTGGCCTGTAACTTTGCCAGCAGCTCTTCCTCCACAGTCTCTGGACAAAAGGACTTCTCAAGAGTGCAAACCAGGGTGCCTACAGTGGGCTTCTGCTCCGATTCACCTCCAGAGAAGCCCACAGAGACTGGCCAGAAATTCAGGTGCCAGAAGTTGAATGCTACTGGTTGTCTTTCTCTGTCCAGCTCCTCCAAGACTAAAGGAATTAACAATACTTTATATTCCTATAGAGGACTTAGCTTTCATTATATAAAATATGTACTGCTTTTATGTTTTTCATAAGTTTCCCCAAAGATAAAAGGTTTTTCTCTCTTACTAGTGCCCATTTTTCCATATGTTCTAAGTTATCTCTAACCTATCCCCATCTGTGGTTATTACAACAGATAAACACTAGCTCAATGATAGAAAAAAGATAAAACTTGAAGGATGTGGGTCAAATTTACTTCGTCCTACATGACTGCAAGTGTTTGGTCAGACATGCACTCCTATATCAACACAATCTCAAAAAAAAATACTGCAAATGGAAAATGATAAGGGAAGTACTGAAACAATAAAGATTATATGGCACTGGGGAAGTTGGAAGAACAATGTCTAGATTCATGACTAAGGCTTTCTATTCACCCAATTTTTAGTGTAAAGTTTGAAAACTCCTGTAAAAATTTTTTTAGGATGAGAACTATCCTTTTTTATACATAGTAAATGGGTCTCACTGAAATGTGTTACAAGCTTAACTCTTACTTAGCTTTTTGAGAACACTTATAAGAAGTTAATTTTGCCTATCAAGTAGTTTTCTTAGTGGATTTTAAGGAATAGCATATGTAGAATTCAGAGTCATCTATAAGGAGTAAAAAATATATGTGCTGGGTATCATGTCAAGGAAATCATATAGCTAGTTAGGAAGACAACATAATCAGAGAAAGCATTCCTGGAAACTTTCTTTGGGCTCAAGAAGGAGAAAAAAGGTGACTGGAAGTTGGTTTGGATTTGCCAAGCCTAAATCACACTTGACAAACCTGGTTATCTTCCATGATGAATTGACTAGAGCTCTGTGCATGGGGAAGAGAGGTGATTACAACCCACCTTGTCTTTAATAAGACCATTGACATGATATTCCACAGTATCCTGGTATCAAACTTGGCATGGTATTGTCCACAGGGCAGAATGACCAGATAGGTGAAAAACAGGCTGGGCTGTCAGGCTCTGTGGGAAGTGGTTAATGGCTCTTACTCAGCCTGCAGGCTGCTTACAAGTGTATCTCACCAGGATGTATCCAGGGACCTACCCTCTTTAATATGTTCACCAATAAGCAGAAGAAGGAGGTAAAACACACCTCATCAAGTTTTCAAACCCTGTCAAAAGTGAGAGGGTGGCCAATACCTGGAGGACAGGGCTGCCCTTGAGAGCAGGATCCCGACATTCAGCAAGGCCAAATGCAGGGTCCTACTCCTGAAAAGGATTAATCCCAGTGATGGTACAGGGATCCATTGATGGGCTGGAGAGCAGGGCTGGGGGGACCCTGGCACTGGTGGGGCTGTATGAATACCAACATGACCAACAGATCAAGACAAGTGACCATTCCATTCACTCGGGACGTCTTATGCCACATTGACAATACTGTGTCCAGTTTTGGTGCTCCTCTGTAAGAGAGGCCTCCATAAACTGGGGCAAATTAAATGGTAAGGTACTGGGATGGTCAGGGCTGGAGCAATTTGTCCCGTGAGGAAAGGCTGAGGAGCATGGAGCTGTTCATCCTGGAGAAGAGAGGCTACAGGAGAACATAAAAGGAACTCCCCCAGTACCTCCCCCAGGAGGTCCCTGAGAAGGGAAAGTCTGCTTTTTATTAAAATTTATTCCAAGAAAACACAGAACCAGTGGTTATGAACTGGTCAGTCTGACTGGATATGTAGGGATGATGCCCAGAGAGGCTGTGCTGTTTCCACCTCAGAGGGTCTCAAACCCACATGGGTAAAAGCCCATAGGCTGCTCAGCCTCAATTCCATGCTGACATTTTTTTGAGCAGTGTGTTGCCCTAGAAATCTTTAAAGATGTCTTCCAACATGAATTATCCTATTACTTATCCTTAAAAATACGAAATACAGCATTCCCAAGTGCCTAGCTGAAGCATATATTACTCTTTCAATGGGCCATCCACCTCTCTCATCCTTCATTTCTTTAAAGGGAGCTACAGCTATTGAATAAGGATACAAGATGAGACATTTGTTGGAAGAAAAATGTGCTGAACACAGGCTACAAACATGAACACTGAGATACAGTCCATTCTCAGTTCAGTCTATACTTTGTGCTCTTCCTTGTCAAAATAGTAATAAAGCAGAGCCAAGATAACAACCACAAGGCCTTCTCCTCCTCCTTGGCACAGAGCCCATGTGGGTCTTTGTGAATGGCCAGCAGGAACATTCATTACCCTCAGATTTCTCCTTTTCAGCTAGCAGTGCAAATGGGCAGACCCCTGCCTCCAAGGAGGGAAATCAAAGCCTAGCAGCAGGAAAAACAAAGGGAACTCTATTCTGTTCTTTGGGCAAAGGGATTATTAATGTTTCCATAATCACAGAATGAAACTGGTTGGAAGAAACCACAGTGATTCATCTGGTCCATCCTCCCTGCTCAAGGAAGGTTATCCTAGAGCAAATCTAATTATGAAAATACCCAGATACAGCAAAGAAAGGCCTCTTCCACTTCTTGAATTTAAAAAGAAAAAACAAATCCAAGACTGCTCATTAACTGCTGTTAAATGGTATTGTTTCCTCTCTGCAAAGCATAATACAGGGCTAAGTAAATTAAAACTTTACAGTTATTTCTCCTTTCTCAGGATGATCTTGAGTTAGGTGGAAAGAAAGGCACAATTCAATATGCCTCAAGTACTGATGGCAGTGGGAAAGACCATTGTTTAGAAAACAAGCATTATATGTGATTTGCTTGGGTTTTTGTTGTTTTGTTGCATTTTTTTTTAAGAAAATCAAGCTTGTTCTCTGCAGAAGACTTTTAAAGATTAGAAATAAACTTTATATATGTATCATCTCAAGACAAAAATGTTTGCTTTCCCTCAGTTCTAAAACAAGTGAAAAAAAAACTGCACTGGAAATCAATTTAGAAGTTGCAATTACTTAAAAATATAAGCTGTCTCCAAAATTCATCATGACTAAGCAAGAAGAAATTGAACAAAGAGTATTAACTCCTAAGTTTCCTCTACATGTCTATGTCCACCTATGTGTGTTTACAAATCATGTGAAATTAAATCTTTTAAACTTAGCCAAAAGAAATAGTCTGGATATTAGAAGTCTGTATTTGCCTGTAAATACTGTTCTGTAAGAGGCTCAGTGAACAAATAATCATGTTTATACCCTCTTTGATTAGGAAAATGCATTTCATTTTGGTGTTTCTGAATTCAACCTGTTTCAAGAGATGAGGAGTCACAGAAATACTATTTTATATAGTATTTATTTATATATAATACGATACTAATATTAGCAAACTAAATACCGATTTTTCAGTTCTACACCTGATGTTTTAAAATGTTTGAAGCATTCTTAGCAGCAAATGCCTTAATTTAGAAGCCTCTGCAAACTAAACATAAGAACAAAAATTTGTGTATATATATACATTTACCTTCTTCAACTGTCTGTACAATGGCTCCTGAAGAACTCCAGTTTGTTGTAAACCCAAAGCTGTGACTGTGGCCAGGCCTCTGGTTTATACTGATTCTCATTTCACTGTACTGTTCCTGAAAAATAAAACATGACACTACAGTATCTGGTATCACAGGAATCTAAATGAGGGAAAGTGTATCCTCTAAATAAGTAAGGCTGCTCACAATGTGCACTTTAATCATCTATTATTAGCATCACAGACAAAGGAAACAGTATTGAAGTCAGTTAACTAACTCATTTGCTTTTTATTCCAACAGGTGTGTTTTCAGTTTACATTTGTGTTTTCTCTACACTTACATTTCACTCCGCATTTCTATTATTTTAAACATTTTGCAACACAATGCTAAAAAATAGGAAGAACTTGCAGGAAATTAAACCCTTAAATGAATCTTCATGGATTGTCTTGTGAATCTGTAGCATGTACTGCCTCCTCAGAGAGCATCAGAGATGTGAAAAACCTACATAACCATAATCAATCTTTTTTTTTCTTGCACAGCCTACCATGAAAATCATCAGTTTCCTTTAGGCTCAATGCTACAACTAAGTTTATTTGGGTGCACAATCATCTTCTTGATTTTGTGTTAAATACTAGCATCTTGCTATTGATTTTGTGATAGGGAGCTTAGATAATAAAAATAATCCAAAATCAGCTAAATCCAGATCTTTGACTTTAATGGACTTCCAAGATGCTTTCAGAATCTGAATCAAAATCGGACATCACCATTTTAAACAACAAGAATATCTGAATGGGAAAACATTTTGTAACACTTGCTCTCAATCCCACACTGTATTAAGAGCATATGTTGCATACATTAGCATTCTAATGTGAGCTCATTAAAAACTATTAAAATATCCAAATGCACACTATGCACTTCATCAGCATGAAATTGACATTAATATAAAAGTGGAAAAAAATGGATTTTTCTGTCAAACAATGTTAAAATAGATATTTTCCAGCAAAATGTTAATGGAAGGGACCCTGCACGTTTTTACACATGCATTAAATGTACACCTACATTTTAGTTCCTTAGTGAACCAGCCTTCCCGAAGAGTCGGATTTATTTTCCCTAACTTAAAATATTTAAAAGGTCTTGAAACCTATGCCAATTCCTCCAAGCTCCTATGCTGGTAAGATGCAACAGGCAGCTACAGTGGGCACTGCACAAACAGATGCAGCCAGTCAGAGTGTCAGGGAGGTGCAGACAGAGGTGATTTCAGCAGTACCTAAGTACTGGATAGAGAAGAAAACAGCACTGCACGACACCATCCTAAGGTATCGCCTCGCATTACAGGAATGTTCCTGGGAAAGCACTCCCCATTACAGCCCAGGTTAGAAATTAAGCCTTCAAGTTACAGCTACTGGCTTGCAAATGCTCCCATACATCCCAAGTCCTTAGGTGAGTATATTAAAAGTGAATCTACTAAACAGGTTAGCACACTGGGCTAAAGAACATACAAACCTTTAGAGTTTGAGTGTGTTCCTGGAAATTACTACTGGTCTTCGTTTTGTTTTTTTCCCACCATTCCAACATAACTCTTCAGATCTATCTTGTCAGAGGAATAATGTACACTGAACTTCATCATTTTTATAGGTCATCCCTAAAACAGTGCTCCACAGATCTGGTGTTATGACCCTGATGACTAGTGAACTATATCAATCTCTCTGGCAAAGATTTATAAACACATCAAATGGAACTTGCATTTCTTAACCTAGAGCTTAAGTTATATAACACAACCAAGACTTTTTTTTAACTTTTTGCAAAATTTTTTAAATAACCCTCACCATACTCACTTGTAGCAGGAAAAATTTATAATCACATAATTAATGACAGGAGAAAACCAAATGGACCTAGTACATGCTATTCTCATTTGATTTGCTTAAACAGATACTAAGAACTCATATCAAATCTGTCAGTTTTCACTGATTAAAACAAAAACTCCTTTGCTTGCTTTTGCTACAACACAGGAAAAGAAAAGGTCATTATCTCTTTCCTCATATAACAATCACAGTTTCAAAAAATTATGATAAAGTCATTACAACGGCCAAGAGGCATCAGGGGTATTAAACTGCAATGTATTTTTTTTCCACAAGTGATTAGGAAGAAGAATGTTTGGAAGCAAATGAATTTCTAAAAAGGTGGTATGGGAAATGATTGTATAAATCAGCATCCAAGGTCTTATGACTCCTACCCAAAGAACTGGCACAATTAAGTTTTACAGCAGGATCAGGAATGCAGATCTGTCAAGGGTTATGAACGGAATCATCAGATAGTACAGAAAGGTATCAAAAATTAAAGCTGTTGTTGGTGAGACATGCACTCAATTGGAGGAAACAGCACTTAAGATACAAATTTCAAGAACAACACTGAAAGACCCAGCCCTTTATCCAATAAGCACATGCACAAAGAGATGGTGATTGACTTAAAAATTAGCATGAACATTAATTAGATTCAAGTAAATAGCTTAAAAAAAAAAAACAATGCCCAAGCCACAACAGATGGAAAAAAGGATAGTATGATACTGATGTTTATGGGCAGCCTTTGAAAGGCTGATCTTTATTTTCCACCACCAGTTTAAAAGTGCAAATGAATGCTACAGCAGCTCAGATAATTCATCTGTCACACCTGATTATATGCACCGTGTGCTAATTTGGAGAATAGCAAAAAACTCTGTAAGCATTAAACAATATGCAGAAGAACTATTCTAAATTAAAATGATAAATAAAATTTAACACATGACAAAATGGATAGGAAAAATTAATCAAAAAAAATTTTTTTTCTTCTCCAAATACTCTCTTTCCCCTAAATTAAATAAAAGGACATAGCAGATGTCCTCTTACTACCAGAAAAATACTTGCATTGGATGCACTTTTATTTATTTTCTGTTTTATTCTGCTGTGGCATTCAGTTACACCAAGTAACCACGTTATTTCCACACTTACCATGGATTTTGAATCCTTAGGCTCTGTTGGACTCGCAGTTTCTGCAGAAGATGCAAGTGAAAGAGAATCAGGAGGAATGCCATATTCTGGCTTAGTAATACTGCTCCCAGCATCTTCATCTTGGGACTTTAAAGTTAATGCCAAACTAGGAGGAGGTGTTGACTGAACACCTTTTTCCTCCTCTTCCTCCTCACCTCTGCTTCTGAATGCACCAGTGGAGAGAGGGTGTGCAGAGTCTGGTTGTGAAAAGGAAATGCTGGTAAACAAAGCTTGAGTTCTTTTAGCTTTTTCTACATCTCCATTGTACTTCTGAGCATCATCCATCTAGGAAAAAAAATGGCAGCTTGGTAAATAAGTGCTTTTAAAAAAGAAATAATTAAATCTTTCAGTGATCTTTATATTTAACAAAACCACCTCCTTCTTTGGAGCAAATTCTGGTTCTTGTACCCATTGTTAACTATCTACTTAGAAAAATATATTTTTCGCTCTTTAAATACTTGCAGAATAAATAGTTCAGACTTCTAAAGATAAACTTGTTAAAGTCATCTACTTAGAATTATTTACATTCTTACCACTTTTTACATTTAAACAAATAAGGATTTAGGAGAAAACTATGGAAATCATCATTGTTATGGGGCAGGGGGGAATCAATTTCATTGTTTTAGTGCTTTACGGTGTAGACAAAATTTAGCCTAGCATAAAATTTCAGTTTCAGAGCCAACAGAGCAGAGGAAACTTTTATCACCTGAAAAATTTATCTTTAACAATTATGTTAAGCTGGCTCCAGATAATCACCTTCAAGGACAGGTTTTTGATAAAGCACACAAAGGAGACTTACTACAAGTAATAAAAAGAATGTTTTACCAAAGATAGTTACCAGCTTTAATTCTAGGAGTGCATTTAAGCAAACACAAGTAAACATCTAAAGCCACAATAGAGCTGCCTGCTCTATTAACACAGCCCTCATCACACAGGAGGCACTTTTCAAATAGAAACAAAACATTAAAACTACTGTTCCCCCAGCTATTGAAGACCCCCCATTCACAGACTTCAGGAATGAAGCGGAATTTTACCGTGAACGACCGTGGAAGTGACGAGATTCCTCTTGAGTGGACACCAAAAGGTCTTGGTGTAACCACAGATGTTAACCTGGAGGTATCAGTTTTCTGGTAAGTTCTCGGGAGAGAAGCTGAAACCTGAGCTGACCCAGTTTGAGCATTCACTGAGTAGCGACTGGACAAAAGAGTCGGGCTCTGCTCCCGTTCCCGCGCCAGACTCTCCGGGGGCGCAGGAGCTTCTCGAGCAGCCGAGCTCTCTGGCAGGTTCTCCTTGGGTGGTTGTGCGGTGTACACACTTCTGCTGTCCTTAGTGCTGTAGGAAGCATCTTCTTCCAATCGGTAATCTTTGGCTGCTGACCAATCTTTTGCAGCTGTGGAAGGTGCTTTTTCTTCACTGAACACATCATCGTTCAGTGAATATGCCCAGTTGTGCTCCTGTTTCTGCTGCTCGTAGGAGTTCTGATCTCTCTCCTCCCTATGGGAACAGAGGCTGCTAAAATACCAAAGTGACCTGACAAACCGGCAGGCCTAAAGTCTTCCAACTAGTAAATGTTTAAGGCAGAACATTTATTATTATTATTATTATTAATAATAATAATAAATGTCCAGTAAATGAAAATGAATAGCCTCATTTAAATATATTAGTACTTTCATATATTTTTAAATCTATCTTCTTCCACCTCCTCCCCAGTTCAACACTCATAACAGTCAGACATACTACTATCACATTATCAGGCTGCCACCGTGACAGAATGCTTTGCCAAGAAAATGACATAGCTACACATAGCTATAAATGATGTAGATACACATACATTCAAGTTATACATCCTCAGAAATTCAGATTTATTTAGGAAAGAGGAGGAATAAGATAGTCCCATAACACTGCCTGAACTGTATAACTGTGCTTGATTTTTCTGCTCTATGAAAATGCTATGCTGAATTTTAGATATCTAAATAAGATAGTGCCCTGAAATTCAGATAATTCTTATTTTTTTGTTATTCATTCCTTTGTCATAAATGAACAACCACTACAATGGTAATCTTTAACACATCAGTTATAATATTCTTATTGATACTGAACATTCAACACAATTACCATCCACACTTTTATTCAAGCAACTAATTTTTGTCCTCACAAAATAGGAAAAAAAATAAAGAAATCCAAAATATTAAAACCTATTTCTTTGGTGAATATATGCCATGTGTATATTACCTTCAGCTCGGTCATATGTACATTTGAAATGAATAAACAGATAAATAAATAAGACTATCACCTCTAGAAATGGTACTGTGCAGTTTACACTTTTTTACTCTTTAGGAAATAAATACCAGGAAGAAAAATTTGGGATGAAGGGGAAATCAAGTAAAAGTTTACAGCTCTGTGACATTAAAATTCTGGTTGCAGTTCTCTACAGTGGCTAAAAAAACAGCAAATACAGTGGTAGAAGGAAGAGAAATAGTTAACTTTATCCATGAGTAAAAAAGGCAACTATCCAGTTCATTTGCTATTTTTTTAACTAATTTAAAGAGAATGTAAATGTTGACTTCTCAATACTTTTATGTATGGATAGCAGAGTAAAATATCATTTATAGAGAAAACTGTTTAACATTCTGTGCAAACAGCGCATTAGAAAACCATATTCAGCCCTTCAATTGCCTAGATTTCTACATTTTATTTTGCAGCTAAAATTGTCAAGATCTCTGCAGAATCAATTGCAACTTGCTGGTAAAAGAGTCTCAAAAATTCAAAGGAATAAAAATGCTCAGATTTATGCTCTTAAACATAATACTCCCACTTGGACCATTACCTCTCCTGCTGCATTTCTTTCAGTGACTTGGTACTCCTTCCAGACACCTCAGAGGCTCTCCTTTCAATTTCTTCTCTCTCTTCCTTTTTCTTTTGCAATTCTGAAGTGTAACTCTTCCTACGACTCTTCCATTTTGCTAGATCCTATTTACAATAACATGAATGCATACCATCAGGTTTTCTCCAGACTTACAGTGGCATCTCATTACATGCTATTTATTATCCTGATTTTATTTACATGTCTGCATCACAGACACATTTTCACCTACCTTCCCCTAAATGATAAAGGGATTGTCATGTTCTAGTTAGAGTTGCAGGCTCATTGCCTCCTTAAGTTAACAACTGTAGTTATTGGACTCTATGCCATTTGGCCCATTTTTTCCCCCCTTTTCAATTTTTTTCTAAAATACTTCACCCAATCACAAATAATTGAAAACTAATGCAAATTCCATCTGTATTTCTTTGTTGAAGGCTTTAGAGTTTGGGATATAGTTATTTTTCCAAATCACTACTATTGTTAGAATGCTACACTAGCTTGAGAATAAATATGCCTTAAATTCTAAATTGAAAACAGATATTTCTGTAGTTTCTTCATTTCTGTAAAACCACAATGTGAACTGGAAATATTGTCCATGAAATACCAGAGCTGAGCTAAGGGAAGTACTGAATATTAGAACTGAGATGCCTTAAACAAACAACTATGAACTTCTTGTTTGGTGCTGTGTTCTTAATTTTGGCTTCTTGTTGATACTCATTGTCAAGCAGATATTTTAATAAATTGAAAAGTCTTTAGATATGTTTATAATGCTGTGCAAAGCTACCATACAGTTTACAAGCTGGATTTAAGACAGAATTATTAGGGGATAGAAGCCTCAAGAATTTGCACAAGGAAGTATTATTTCTTCCGCTTTCTCCCAGAGGATCAAATACTCAGACATTCCAATCATTTCTCCAAAAAAAGCATTCAAGAATTGGAGATAACACAAGAAACTATGCCCCAATTTCTCTTTATGTCCACAGAAATCAATCCTGAAGGCTTTATTACAATACATATAAGTCTTATCCTGAAGCACTAATCAGAAACTCAGGATGATATTTAAAATAATTTCAGTTCTGCATTAAACAGGCATCCCCATAAACTCTAGTAGCTGCCTGAGATGAACTGTTTTAGAAGATAGCCCCATGAATTGCTGCACACATGCCAAAGCTTGTTTACTAGGGACATTGAAGGCAGGTGACAGCCAGCCCTTCAAGCAGGACGCACAAGGAGAGGAGAAAAGCAGTCCTTACTTCTTGCCACTTTAGATCTTGTTCTTGTAACTGTTCTTTTATCTTCTGCAGTTCTTCATAGCGGATTTTGCGCATTGTCTGCAGCTCGTCTGCACTGACATCATTCAAAGATTTACTCCTAGAAAGGGAAAAGAGAACTCAATTTTATAACATCCTAGCCCGCATTTACACAAGTGAAACCTTCAGAGAGAGAGAAAGATTTATATTAGTACAACTGAACGCTTGTGAATGTTATTTTGAATGGAGCAGGACACACATGGGCAGCTGAATGAGAAAGACTGGGATGTTCTCTAGTGCCAACACACAAGTCATTAGTTGGGTATCTGAGCAAATAAGGTTAAGGGAATAAGCAGCTCTGTACATCTCCACACTGATCATTCACATTGAGCTCCTCATAGAACACTGCTACTTCTTTTCCAACTTGTTATTCTCTTTATATTAATCTTGTTTCTTTCTTTGTCCCAAAAGGCATCCCTTATTCCCAAATCCAAATTCTCATCCTTTGACTTCTCTCCTCTAAAAGCTTCAGTATCATCGCCTGTTCTTTCCTTAGGCTAATCATAAAATCGAAATCAGTTACTGATGCCCATTTCCAAAAGATTAAGAGTCACTCACTGCTAAATGCTCAGTTCATGGATGTCACAGGCCCCACTAGCCTATGCTGATCATCCCCAAGCTTCTGAGATGTTCTCTGCTCAAGCTGGCATGGTGAACACAGCCATCTTCCTACTAACTTCTTCAACATGGTTACAGGTTCCCCAAGAACTCCTACTTGCTAGCTCCCTTTAAGCTAAATTCCTCAAAGCTCACCTTTCATGCTCTTCCCCAACACATGCTATTTTTCCTTTATTCTTCCACACTACAGTGATAAACATAGCAGGACAATTAGTTTAGATATAAGACAAGCCTCCTGATGAGATCTGACCATAAGCCTCTGAGAAAGTGAGCAAAATGCAAGTGTTTCATCATAAGGTTAGATGATATAACACAAAGGGAAAGCTAGGTTTCTGAGGCTTGGGGGTATTTTTTTTTCCTGAGTATTCAAAAATACCTTTGTTTTCATTTATCCAAAGTATGGGTTATAGAGGGATGTAACTAAGTTCTAGCAGGACTTGAAAATGTGTCACTTCTCTGATATGATGGAAAATCAGATAAAAACCAAAACAGATTCAGCACAGAGCCTTGCTCTAATCTGTTGCATTCCAAGAGATCTCTGAACTAACAAACCAGACTTTCACTTCCTCCCAAGAGGCTGAACTCACTTTCATTGGTAACATAAGACTGGCCTCTGGCCTCTAGAAATAAAGGCTTGGGCATTAACTCATTGTATCTGTTTGCTTATCTATTTTCTGAATGAGAAGAGTGCCAAATTCAGCAAAAATCACCTGGCTGCTATTGCAGAAACTCTTGTACAGTTCTTTTCCTCATTTTTTATCCTTAGAGATATGTCACACGTAGAAATGTTTTGGGGTAACCATATACTACATTAGGGTGTATCAAATTTGTTCCAGATGAGTTCAAGAAAACTTACATAACTTATAGTTTCAATTTCTTTCTTTTGAGTTACTATATTTGCCTGCATCAGAACAGGAGAATCTTGACCTAAAGAAAATATACCCTAAGTAAAGGTTTATATTCATAGCATGGAACTAGATCTCAGTTTTCATTTCAGTCCTAAACTGTAAAACCTAACTAATGACTTGAGTCTTCTGAGTCTCCTTCTCCTAACACCTAAGTTCTGCTGAAATATTTTGCACTTGTGTAAGTGTTAAGTCATTTGCCAGGTTCAGGGTAAAAATAGAAAAGCAAATAAATGAATAAATTTAAAAATTTAAAAAAAACCAAAAACATTAGAACACCACGCATTCCCAAATACTTAACATGCCGTCACACAACAAGTGGAAAAATTATTTGTCTTTGAGCCGCAGTTCATCATAAACAACATCTAGGTTCCCGTGGCACAAATCTATACATTTATCACTGAGCATTCATAACCTGGAAGATATAAAATAACCCCAGACCATTCACCAATCCCTTGATAAATACCACTGCTGTAAATTTTCAGATTCTAGCCATACAGCCTTCAAAATAAAATATTTTTTAGTATCCCTTTACACTTTCTGAAAGTTTTAAAGCCTAATTTAAATAAAAAACCCCACATTTTTCACTTCAGCAGGAATAAAACATTAGAGCTGATTTTCAAAGTACCTGATAACCATAACTTGAATACACAAGACAGCAGAGAGAACTTTTGCCATATATACAGCTTTTATCTCTTACGTTCGTTACGTAAATTGCAAAGAACAGAATAACAAAGCATCATGCACAAGTTTTCAGCATGAGTTTTTAGCTACTGTGCATGCATAAAGATGAAAGGAGGCCAAATAAATAGCATTACAATCTCACAAGCTTTTATAAAACTTACCCTTGCTCATCAGAAAGCTTTTGAAACAGTCTGAGAAATCAGAAACCAAAAAAGAAAAGATTCAGTGTCTTGATATTGATAACAACATTAACACCATTAGTAGACCAGCACTCTCACTAAGTGATGGGGAAACTGAAAGCTTGGGAACCAGCCAGCATGGAATAGCACATCAGGAATTGGACACCAGTCAAAAAACACACCAGGACTTGCATGATGGGCAAAGTTGGGCAGAACTGTCAGAACAAGGCTGCCTGCAAGTTTCCAACACTTTTCATTTAGCAATGCTGCACAAATAGAGCCTTGTATTATTTCTGCACCACTTATTCCAGTGCTGCTGAACAGCACGATGCTCAAAAGAGACTCATTTCAAGAAATTAAAATTAATGCCAGCTTGAGTCCCAACAAAAAGTGTGGTTGACAGAGGTTGTTTTCTTGTTACTTCAACCATTTCTGATACTAACTGAAAGTAATACTTCATGTGTACCAGAATAAAAGACCCTATATAGAAGTTAAGTGCATTAATCCTTGAACACAACTAATCCAGGGCAATTCAAGAGGATTTTTAGTGTTCTTAAATATGAGTATTTTATCCTATAGCTATTTAATGCTACTTAATGAATTTTTAAAACATGCAATATTTTCCAAGCACTCCAGAAATATTTCTCAGTGAAGCTCGAACTTTGTTAACAGCATTAGCTTAAAAATTAAACGCAGCAACATCAAAATACCAACTGGAACACAGAAGTGTCTTAGTCACAAAGTAATGATGCACAGCTGGAAGATCTGCAACTTGCAATGCCGTATTTTCAGAGCTAAGTAAACATTTTGAACCCCACTCTCCCCCAGTAAATACAAAATTCAAAGGAGAGATAGGAAGTACTTATGAAACAGTATTCAGTCAGACAACAGAAATTTTGAGAACACCAGGAAAGAAGCAGAGGAAAGAATGAATTGAGACTGTATGAAAGTAGAGGGATAGTATTGGCAGAATAAAATATGCCACAGTGGACTTTAATATTACATAGACACACAACTTGCATGCACCATGACTTTGGGCAGGCAAAACACTTTTTTTGTTTTTCACCTCGTCTAATCATCTAAGAGCTGTGGCAAGACAGTTTACAAGCATTTTTAAACTTAGGTGCAAGCAAGAATATCAGAATGCCCATTTCCAGAATTTGTCTTTAAAGCATTCATGTGTTTCAGAAATGTTGTTACCTATTATCTTGTAGAATAAAAGAAAATATTTCTAGCCTCCATAGTCTTTTGAATAATCACTGTTCAACCATGGAAAGAAATTAATGCAGCCTGAGGGAATGATAACCCATTTCCTCCAAAGTGGCAGCCTAAAACTAGAAAACTTTATAATTTTTTTGTTGAAAATATGGTATTGCAGTCATGAGCTTCTACTCAAAGCAAATAAAAAGCTTGTTCAAGGACGACACGAACAAATAGCAGATTGGCACTCTATGAATGGTTCAGCACAGGATGATGCTTTTCTGAATGGGAAGGGTTCAAGGACACTCAATCTGTGCAGGACACAACCTGACCTCTCCACCATCTGCCGTTTCTTGTGTCTAACTTTGCTGGCCTCCCTGATTGCTTCCCACTTCTTCCAGTCTTCTTCACTGCATGGACCTGGGATGAAATTTACAGGCTGGACATTGCTTCCCACTTTCCAAGATTCAATCTTGCGGGTCAGCATATCGTCCTTCTTATGGTGTAAAGATGGTGACAACACTCTGCCATTGCTCTTCCTTTCCTCTGGTATCGTGTTTTTTTCAAGTAAACACAGAAATTTGGACCGGATCTCTTCCGGGAGACTCCATGGATCAGGAAACAGTGCTGGGTGATACTTGTCGGGAGCACCTGATAAAGGCACCTCTTTTTTTTGAGAGAGGACTTTACGAAAAATCATGTCATCCTTTTCCAAATCTGGAATCACAGTTTGGCCCTCTCTGGGCTGCAGAATTATCTCACCCTCTATAGGAGGCTCCTGCTCAGAGAATTTCTTTAAATACCGGGGGTCTTGAAGAACAACTTGATTCACATGGAAAGCCCCAGTTTTCCGAACGAACAAATCATCATTTTCCAAATCTGGATATACATATCCATTTTCCTCATCTCCTTGCTTGCCTCCTGGTATAAAGGAAATATTCTTTCTACATTTTATGAGCCTAGGGCCAGAAGTAGGATCAATTCTGGTCTCCATTTCAGAAGACATGTAGTCAGTGTATTTTTGCAGGGCCTGAAGTAACGAAAACTGACTGAAGCATATAAAACAAAAGGAGGGAAGTAAAAATATCATTAACTAGCAAGAGACAAGCAGATCACAACGTATTGCAATATACATTTGGTTTAGACTTGCAGTATCCCAATAAGAATGACGACACCACTTGGCATTCACCACCACTGACAGTAGCGCAGCACACGCCAACCAAGGCAAAGGTATCCCGGCATCCTAACCTGCTCAGAAACATCACACTTACATGCTCACACACAAAGCCAGTAATCCTATGCAGCATGTTACACTTTCACATTTACACGTTTCAGAAGGCCAGCAACTTACGGCTACATTAAAAGAGAAAAAAACCCCAAACCCAACAAACCAGCAAAACTGTAATAACCAAAAAAGCACGACATCACGGGACGTGGTTTAATTTCATTTAGCTGTTGCATATCCAGACATTTCTTTTTGATGCATCAAGAGAACAGCTCATGCAGCAGTATCAACCTGGGCTGATCAGAAGACTCCAAGATTTTTCCTTCTGCAATCTGTGACAATGAGCTTCCCAAATATTCAGCAGTTGGCTTATAATTCTGATCCCTTCTGCAGCTACTGTTCCAGTCAAAACTTGATTTTGGTTGATTAGCAACAATGGTACAGCTTTGTTTGTAAGCAAATTCCTCATCCTCAGAATCTGATCTCTTTCTACTGTGCAGCAGCACAAAGAATGAGCAGAGGAGAAAGAAAAAAAAAACAAAACATGAAGTCTACCCACTGACTAAAATGCACAGTGGCAACAAGTGCAAAAGAATATTTCAGTTGTTTTCAGAAAAAAAAAAAAGGAATAAAACATATCCTGCTGCTACACTGGAAATGTAAATTAAAAAATTCAAAGTCACAGAACTACACTTCATTTAGGCTTTGCACACAGGAGAGAAACAGGCATGCATGAAAACGCACCTGAACCCTTGAATCTCTTTATACCAGGGTTTGAAAGAGGATTTCTTGATTTTTTTCCATAGCAATTCTTCCTCTGGAGTCCAAAACTTAGGAAGAAATTTGTCAAAAGCAACAACTGTATTTGGTGCTGAAGAACTTAGCTTGCGAAAATAGAGATCATCTTTTTCAATGTTTGGGATGCCTACTTCTTCCTCGTCCTCATCAAAATACCCAGATAATTGTGAAGGATTGTTAACTCTTGGTTTGTTTTCCTCTTTAGTATCCAATTGCCTCTGCCTCCTCTGGTTACTGTTCAAAATATCCAATCAGTTAAGATATTTTAGGAGCAACTTGACATAAGGAATGCAAAAAGACATGCTTTTTGGCTCAGGAGCTCAGCCTTGTGAATGAAGCATATTAGTTCTCAATTTCATCACTGCAGCACCAGAAAAAATAAGATACATTAAATAAAAAAAAATTTCAAAGAAGTTAAATGGTTATATCAGCAACCTATCTCCTCTGACAAAAATACAAAATTTGACAGAAAAAGCATATCAAATTATAAGCTGTGTTAAAATGCCGATTAGAAGACTAACTTTATGGAGTTATTTTTGGGCTGCTATTTAGGTAAGGCAATAGTTACTGGATCTTGGATTAGTATCTCTGACCTCAGTGGTTCAAGCATTGCAGCTAGTGGACCAGCTGGATAACTTTCTCGCGAGCAAGACTTAGGAGAGTCATTGCGCAACATGAAACGATGTCCAGGTGCAGCAGAGCTTACAGGGCTCTTTTTGACTAGAAATCTACGATTTGCTAAGTCATCCAAAACAATGTCAGGCAGCCTTCTTTCATCTTCTGAATCAGAGTCACTGTCATACTCATAGGTGATCTGGAGGGAAGCTGGATTTGTGAGCCCACAATCTGCTCTGCTATTTTGGCATGAAGCTACAGGATTCGTGTCACGTCCACTGAGGTTGACCGAAAGAGGAATAGAATGAAGACAGTGAAGTCACGAAGGTAACGGTGAAACTCAAGAACTGCCCACTAATCTCATCTGAATGCATCAAGAAGCCGGACAACTGAAATTCATCACTATATTTTGGAAGCTTTAACAAGCAACTAAACCCATAGGTCTATCTCTCGTGAACTTGCATTTAAGACCATTTAAATACATTTGGAGTCTGGCCAGCTTCAAAACATTACTCAAACATCAAAAAAAAAAGTAAAAAAACAAAACCAAAAACCAAACCAGACAACCACACCAAAACGCCCCCCTTCGATAAAACATGGAAAAAACAAATACTTGACTTTTTATTGCAGCAAGAACAGCTTTTCTTTAACTAATAAAGAAGTAACTTATTTTAAAAATTCTGAATCAAAGCCCACTTTACTAAGACCACACGCCAGTACCTTGAAAATGTTCCATCTGACTCAGTGAAAACAGGACTTGCCCAGCTCCTCCTGTTGTCCTCATTCTTCTCTGACCTCTTCTTCCTTAAAGGTGCTGGCACATATGCTGTCTGCTTGTTTTTGTTGGGTAAGAAACGGTTGAAGTCAGTGGTGGGTTTTGGTTCAATCACAGAAATCCTACGGTAAGACCTGTCATCCTTGTGGGAGTCATGCATTTTGGAAGGCAGTTCCGAGTCTGTGTCACTGTCGCAACCTTAGAAAAGAAAGTAGAAGAAAGGGAAGATACAAACATCATTCTCTAGACATGTGCTTGTAGCTAAAATTTAGATCAAAGTCTTCCAAAATGACTTTATCTCTGTATTTGAGATGTTTCAGCTGCAAATTTGCTGAGCTACTGACAGAACAGTCGGAGAGGTATTTTTAGAAGTCTGTGGCAAAGCTATGATAAGATCCATTAAACTCAATTTGGTTTGCATTATCCTCCTGCATTTGTTCCATTCTTTCATTATCACTGCTCCCTGCAGGAAACAAACTGCTGGCCTCCAGACTGAAGACAAAAAAACTGCACAGAAATTTTTTAATTATATAGTAACTGCAAGACAAATTTACTAACAAAGACAAGTTAACAGCAAATGTGCTCATCTCACCAGATGAACATCCAGTAGAAGCCCAGGGTACATCACATATGTAACATGGCTAAATGTTGCCTTGCATAGATCAGCAATGCTCCATGGAGCCTCTGCTCAATGATTTTGTTGTTCACATGAAAAAAAAATCGAAAACCTCACAATTTTTTTGACTTTGGACTACAAGTTCGTATTGAACTTTAAAACCAGCAAAGAAACACAGGCTAGAGTGCTGTTTTAGGGTTCCAATCCTGTTACCTCTATTTTCATGACAAACTACTAAAAGTAACGAATATTGTTCAGTATTTAACCTGCAGGGGAAAACATTATTGAATATTCACAAATGAAGTAAAGATGTAGTGGTTTGACACAGCCACCCTAAGAACAAAGCAAGAGACTTTTGCAACTGGACAATTTTAGGTGATCCCATCCAGATCTAATTCCTAGCAATTTTCCTTACAGAACTCTGGGAATATACCCTGGCCACACACACACCCTAAATGTGCCAATGAGAGCAAGAGTTTCAGCAGCCCTTCTTCCCAGGAACATCTGTGTGAGCAGCGCTTTTTGCCTACTGACAGTTAGAGGTCAATATTTGCTTAAGCAAAATGCAACTGCAGGAGTTCCAAAACTAGAGTTGACTTTCAAGCTGGTTTAAGTACAGGATATCCAAGTACCAGGTCCATACATTGTCTTCTCCCACACTCATAAGCTACATGTCAATAAAAGATTTTAGAGAGGAAAACATACCTTCACTGCCACCTTTCAAGGTTATATCTGATGAAAAGCTTGTGCAGGATCTTGAACCAAGAGAGTCCAAGCTATCAAAGGAATCGTCTCTTTTATGAGTGGCTGAAGATGAAAAAGGCTCTCCCCGATCAACGTACCAAATGTCGCCGTACCCACTATCTCTCCCACTTCTGCACGGCTGGCTGGACTCTTCAAGTGCCTACAAGAGTAAGTTTTGAAAGGTCTTTTTCAATAATTTAGGGTGCAAATGTTACTCATTAACATTTTGAATTCACAGACTTCAGCAAAGACTACTGCAAACCCCTAAACCACATACACAGTAACACATACAACAGCTTGAACAGGAGGCTTGATATTTACATTTTCTTAAATTTCTTTAAAATATTTCTTTAAAATATTTAAAATATCTTAGATCTGTTTCATCTCAGCCAAAGAGGACTGAGATAGGGCTCTTCACAATCTACCACATCAATTAGAGCAGATGAATTCTGAAATTCATATGGGTAGCAGAAGAACCAATGTAAGCTAAAAATCATTCCTTTCATATGGAACTTGATAGCAAGCAAAACAAATAAAACAAATTACTATGTTCTCCAGTCTAAGAAGGAAATTAAACCCCCCAAGAGACAGTTTAGAATTGCTGCTGTATAAGAAACTATAAACTTCAGGCTCTTCATTTAGCTTCATTTTTTGGATTCCTTACCTTGGTCAGTGCTTGCCCCAATAACTTCTCAAATGCTTTAAGATTGAGGTATGGACCATTATAATCAGGGTCACTTTGAGCTTTTCTCCCAAGCCAGTATAATGTAATCAAAACCTAAAAACAATCAGGAAAAAAAAAAAACCAAAACACGAATACAAACTTAATTACATTCCTCTCATGCCATGTGCCAGGGTAAAAGAATCTCAGCATGCTGTTAGAGATGTTTCCATAATGAACTGCAAAATCTTGCATACGGTATTAGCCAAGATTGCCACCAAAACCAATTAATGAGTGTCATGATGCATCTCATATCTCAAGTAAGCAGATGTAAGTACTGTTTTCAATTATTACAATGATTTGGGAAAGTAAGCCGCACATAGAGATCATTGTGAAATGGTATTAATTTGCATCAGATAAATAAATCGATAGTAGAAGAACAAGGTAAATATGACAGTACCATAAACACAAGCATTTAAAATTAATTAATCACAATTAACGTGCAACTGTCTTACATTTTTCACTCTTCTGTTGGTTTCCTCTGGTCTGAAGCAGGGCAGAGAATGAGAAAAAGAAAAGAAAATGGTTTAAAATTGCTGACTTAAAATTCAATTATTATTCAAGGTGTAAAAAGTTTCAAGACCAATTACCAGTCACTATAAAATATGCAACTATGACTGCTACAAAAGAAATAAGAAGCATTTCACTTTACAGTCATAACTCTACTATTTCAATTGTTACATGTAAAGTGAGAAGCTAGCCAATCTGTTATAGTTTCAGTTTTGCAAGGTACACAGAAAGGCTCTAGGCATTTTTAATTAGCTCTCAGTTACCAACAAAATAGAAGTAGAAAACAAGCTATTGACTTTGGGAAATATAGACTCTATAGCCAGGGAGATCACAGAATCATAGAATGGTTTGGGTTGGAAGCGCCCTAAAAGATTCTTCCCAACAGCCAATCTAAACTGACCCTCTCAGTTCAGTCATTCCCCCTTGGTCCTATCACTACATGTCCCTGTAAAAAGCCCCTCTCAAGATTTCTTGTAGGCTCACTTTAGCTGCTGGAAGGCTGCTACAAGGTCTCCCTTGAGCCTTCTCTTTTCCAGCCTGAATAACCACAGATTTTCAATTCCATATGAAAGGAGATTCAGTTGTAGTTTTTTTCCCTGATTGTATTGTTTTCTAAAGTATTTGCCTTAGACAACAACAGAGAACACTTCAGCCAAGAGTAAACTTTTCAGGCCAAAAAATAAGAAACTGAAACATCTGGAGAGAGATGATGTAGGGCTGACAGGTTGGGTTTGGATTCTTTTATACAAATACAAAATTATTTTCAAAAGTTTTTCAAAATTATTAAATACATATGCAATCACTAACAATAGGAAACTTTTATATATATACACCCAGTCTGCAGCACACCTTGGAAATATACCAACAGGCACTCAAAACTTCTCCTCCTGTTCATTTTAAGAGCAAGAAGAAGAAACTTCTCAAACAAAAGCCTCCTAGTCCCCAGGTGTAAATATTCAGGGCTGGACTGCAGACAGTGGTTGAACAACATTGCTGCCTGCAGCACCAGCAGTTATGGAAGAGCAAATGGCTTAAATACACCAAAACAACTCTCCACCTGCCCCAGATGTTTGTCTGGAGCTCGTTCAGCTGCAAACTTCACACACAGCACAGTTAAGGGGTTCAAACAGAAAAGTGGAGACTACACATACAACAGCAGAAAAACATATTCAGAGCTCCCTAATATGGCAGACCAAAAATGTATCAAGGTACTTATCCTGTTTCTGTCTGTCTAGAAACACAGTAGTCAAAGATTACAGGAAAATAAAGGAGAATAAACCATTCAGGGAACAGTTGCGAGTTAGTGTAATGAGGACAGGGCCTGGTCAGCCTAAGCATCACTCTTCATGGAAATGGAACAGTCAATGGGATGTGACAAGCATCAGGGACACAGACCATCCCTTCCCTTCCCTCCTCCTCTTCCTTCCCATTTTGAGAGCACCCTCTCCCACTCAGTGGCTCTAATTGCCTTGCCCACCCCCACATGATAAAGAAATCTGGTATCAGGGACACAAAGTCCTGAGATGGGTCTGACCTGGACAGTCCTTGCCTGCAGCTTCTGTAGTATCTCATGCCAGAGATGCTTCTGGCTTTGTAGCCAGTGACCTCTTTCCCACAGATAAGGAAAAACCCTCCTCCTTCAGTGTGAAATACTGAACACTTTTTTGTTTGTTTTTTTCATCCCTTCCAAAATCCATTGCTATTCGTTATTCACTCAAGACTATTTCTGAAGAAAAAAAAATTCCCCTATTTTTCAGTAGGCTAGTTTTTTTTTGCCAGTGCCCATGTTGCAGGGCTCACCATTGTTGTGACCTAAGGTGCTACTAGAGATGGGTTGATTTCCCAAGCAGAGAATGGAAAACTATGCTTACATCAACATCACACTTCTCATACCCAGTGGAGAGCATTTTAAATTTTAGCAATCTTTACTCTCAACGCCTTTTGTTAGCAGATTTTTTGCTTTTGTTTGCAACTATAAAAGCAGAGCATCCTTGCAAAGGATGCCTTAAAGTTTGCTCCCAAACTTCAGCAGCCCAGTAAGGAGTGGAAAATTTTGCCCTTAGCTGGAAGGAGCATGTATCCAAAAGGCTGCCAGCCTTCATGTACACCAGAGCTTGAAGACTGAACACAATGATGTCACACTTCTGCTTTCCTTGAGACCTCTGGGATTTCAGTGAACTGTTTTGCAACAGGAGCAATAGCAATAGTTGTCTTTATATTTCAATAAAATTTCCTATACAAATACACTAGACCTGTGTACTTGGAGTAAAACCAACGCAAAACTAAAGTCATTCAGGTAAACAAGTCAGTTTGAGACCAAAAATACAGGCAGGGAGATATTTCACAGACTTGAATGACCAACCCTGCTTCATTCCTGTCTCTTCTGCTAACAACAGAAGTAAACAGACAAGTTGTTTCCTCTTCATTCTTAAAGTTTCTTCACTTACATTACTACTTCCTTCTCTGAACTCCATCTATTGGTTTCTAAACCATTTCAGCAACTTGTCATGGTAGACACAGTCTGAGCAGAAGAGAAGAAAAAAGCCAAGAGAAACCCTGCTGATTTAGTACAATGTTCCTCATTTTTATATGCACGTATTAATTATTTGGTACTTAACCAAGGAAGAGGACGGTTCTGAATGATGAACATACTGTTCTAAAATCTGTGTTAAATAATAGGTATATAATTTTATTTGGTCAAAAGAATCCTGTCTAAAGAAGCAATATTTACCTACCTTACTGGAAAGTCTTAAAAATAATTTTTGATCTACAAATCTCACAGCTACATCTTCTCTGAGGCATGCAGCTTGCAGAAGATGTAGTTTGAATCTACTTGCTAACATGCTCTGTGTGAAATAAGAGCCTTTAAAGCCCTTTATATGTACAACCTGTACAAGCTCATCTGTGTTTAGTTGCACATGCCATTGCCCAATTCCCCTCCAGGACACTCCATTTAAAATATCTATTGAGTGGATACCTATTGATTAGAAGTGTGATACAAACTGAAGAGCTTTTAGAAGGAATTAATTTTTCCTGTGAGTATCTAAATAGAAAAAAGACAAGGCTTTTAACTCAATTGTAGTAAATGAAAGCACAAAATGGAACAATTCTACTACGCAGAAGTTCTTCATGAAGTGCTACAAAAATGCAGCTGCTGTGAAATCTATGCAGATAATTAATCTGGGGTCTTGACTATAACTTGGAACAACTGTAGTTCATAGGAGGGGACAAGATAGAGGCACCAACCTCAAGCATATCAAATTCTTTGCTGCTGGAAGAAGAGGCATGACCCTACAGCTTTTCTGACAAACTGTTACCCTAACAGCTCCTGCTCCTAAGTTCCTGCTCTCACCTTCAACTCCCTTTTGCAATCCTGGCTCTAAATACACATCGCTCCAACACTCAGTTTTCCACACTGCATTTGAATAAGCCATTTAGAAGATGGAGTACAAGAACTTCAGCAATGCAGCCTTTAAGCTTTTTAAATAATATTGGACACTTACAACCTTATTTTAAACATAAGTCTATAGCACTGAAATACACACGTGACTGCTTTTAGAGACATTTCTCATACAACAGCTAACTTAGGAACTGATGGGGTAGCTCACTTGCTAAAGTATCTTCATCAATGCAAATAAATGCCAATACTATATTTTGTTACTGTGAAAGAAGTCTGCTTTTTCCTGTTTTCATTCAAAGTTGTCATAGATCCCAGTTGATGCCAATCATATTCTTTATAAATACTGGTGTAACACAATTTCTGGTTTGAATAGGTGAATACCTTTATACTGAAAGTTTTAGGTGGGCTGCTGATTTGCTTAGGAGGGCACAGCCAAGGTTGCATCTTAAAACTAATCTGCTGAAAGAATTCAGTTCCTTCCCACATGACAACGCAACACTACTTATTAAATCACTTTGTGTATTTTTAAACATTAACTTCTATGTCTTCCCACAGGTTTTTTACATCTCCTTTCATTAACAATACAACTTTGTTAAAGATGTCTGAACTAAGCAAAGAAAGCTGCTAAGTAGAACAATTAAGATCTTGCTTGAAAAATTTTATTATAAATTCATCTGCTTCTGTCACAGTCTCAGCATTTGAGTTTCATTCTGAAGCTTAAAAGAAAACCAGCACCAATCTACCTATCCTAACCTCAATACCGAATTCCAGCTAACAAAGAGGTCTAGAAACTGTAAAAGTAAAATCCTAATTCACAAAGCATGAACCTTAATTGTTGGCAGTGGTGTTAATAAAATTTATGTACAATATCAAGATTAGCTACCCAGGAAAAGATCTCCTAATCACCCCATGGAAGTTTAAAGGCCAAGAGATAACAATACGTGGGGATATTATAATAGTAATTGTGAAGCATGACCACATAAATCCGAGTTAAACACTGATGAAAAAAGATGTGAAATAACCACCTGTGGAGAAATAATATCTTCTGTGTAAACCATCTCATCTACGTCAATCTTTGGGCAAACAGAAGAAAGGCAAATGGGACAGGAGACGAAATACCTCTGGTACATTTGAACACAGCACATACTGACGAACATCACTTCCAGACAGCATGGACCTACAGATGTTTCTCTAACAAAGACCACTCTACAAGAATAAAACAAAGTGACATGGCAGATCAGCATGCTGAACCACAGCTCATGGAATTTATTCTCAGCACCACTGTTTGCTCAAGGTTAAACAGCAGAATTAGTCACCAAGGCCCTAGCCTGACAATACAAAGGCTTTGGCAGCAGCTCTAGCTTAAGGATTTCCTTGTCCCCCTTCTCTCTTCCAGCCACTCCTGTTTGCTGCCCCCGTGGTTATGCCAACACAACCCTGAATCACACTGTGGTTCCTTGCTGCCAGAGGACTACACCTGTTTCTGTGGGTTCTTCTTGATATACATTTTCAACCCCAAAATTAGCTTGCTGGTCTGTTTTAGATTATGCTCATACAAGCAATTGCACCAGCACTG